TCTAGATACAGACTCGGGAAAGAATTTCACAGGCTGTAAAAACTAATCTATGCAGCTATTTAGAGTAGATGGTTAAATATGTACTCAAAAAGCATGGTAAAGTCTGTCGTTAGCTGGTTACTCAGCTGTCAAACATTGTAAAAATAAGTGAAATTATGATGTATCTGGATTTGCTGTTTCTTTCCCTTTAAACTGTAATACCCTCACTTTGTCTGGTTCTTTATTTTAAATAGGTTTCAGTTTTAGTCTTAATTAAACTGAAACCTAGTCATTTAGAGCTGTTTGTAATTGTAAAATTGAACCAAAATAGGTGTCAACAGACTGTGATGAGCCTCGTTTTATTTAAGTCGCACTTAGCCAATGACTCAGCTGGACTGTTTCCTATTGGTTGATGACTATAAACTATAATCTAAACTAATAATCAGTTACTGATGGCTGGACTATTAATTATCGTGCATAAAATAAACTAGTAACTACGCAGCAGTGGGCGTTTGATATGGGGTGTTTACTGTCACAGTGTCTGCTGGTTGTGACATCCAGACTCAGGGCAGAGTAGAGGAAAATCAGTGAAGAGACTTGCTCTGGTATATGTAACACCTCTCTTTAGTCTGTTGTCACTTTCTAAACTTGTTCCAAATGTCAGCTCCTCTTTACCCCGGAGGTATGAAATAGCAAGGGTGTGTGCAAGTGAGTTAGAGAGAGAGAGAGGGAGAGGTAGAGATATGATGGTGTGGGAAAAAGGCTGCTCTGGGCTAACGGTTTCCTCTGGCCTCAGATGGAAACAGGCATTCGGCCAAATGACTTCATTCCAACCAGTGTTTCACATCCCAGCATCTTTGCTGGCCTGGAATCACAAAACACATCATCACTCCACTTACCATCTACAGTAACTGTGAATAACCCTTTATACTAACATAGTACTACAGTAAATATACCCATCAGCCATAAACGATAAAACCACTGACGGGTAAAGTGAATCTTATTGCGATGTTCTGCTGGGAAATCTTGAGTGCTGGCCTTCAGGTGTCGGGTTATACTTCTACCTAAACATTACTGCAGAACAAGCACACCCCAGTATGGCCCCAATGTGCCATAAATATCCAGATCTTGAGCGAACATCTGCAGGACCCAAACATTCAGGCACCAGATGCCACATACTCCTAAACCATCTGGGTCCAGAGATGGGTAAGAGCTGCCTTGTGGCACAAGGGGAACCTCCGGAATAACAGGCTGGATGTATAATGTTTAATGTTTAGGCTAATAGGTGTATATTCTGTTGTACTACACTCCTGGTTTGGCAAACCCAGATATTTCTTTATTTGGGCTCTTTTAGAGCATTTGTGATGTGATTTTAAAGATACGAAAAGTAGTTGTTCTATTTGTGGCACCTTCTTGACCCTTTTTATTGCAATCTTTTTATAGCGTTAATCACAAGATCATTCTATGAATGGAACAATTCATAAAAGTCCTTCCAAGGTGAACCACAGAGGAGATTCATCCACGGGTTTGCTGTTACCAGGCCTTGTTTGCTGAGACCATGTATACATGCTGGACTGGATACAGTCATTCATTCCACCATGGCATCCTTCAGTGCTGCAGAGCCTCACTGGCCGCCTGCCTGTTTAGAAACAAGGCAGCCGTCCAAGTCCTGCGTGCCCCGGCGTATAGACAAACCATCCCGCCTTTTTATTTTTAAACCAGATGTGTTTTTACTGGGTACAGTTTAGATTCCCCCGGCAATACAAATATGCTCTGTGTTGTTCAGAATCGAGGCTGCCAGCTTTCAGACGGGGGACCAGTTCCTGAATGGCTAGCTGTTTAGCAGACCTGCTAACTGCTGATTTGATAAATGTGTGATTTCTTCAACTGATTAAATGAGTGGCTGCTCTACTGGCTGAATCATTGTGCGTCTTGGTTTATATCGAGCATACTAACCACATCGCCTGCCACATTTATCCATGGTGCGTCTGTGAGGAAAAATAAACACATTTTTAATGTGACTTTTTCCCTCCTTTTTTTATTTCTCATCATTTTTATGGCCCTTAAATTGCTTCTTGGTAGTATATTGTTGCCTTTGAGTCGATGTTTTTCTCAGTGAAACAATCATAAAAATGACTTGTTCTTAAGCAAATCAATGACTTTTGTGCAAGCATTGTAGCTGCTCTGCAGTAGGCAAGATGGAACTGAATTAGAACATATGAACTGAGAAGAGAAAGAAGTTGATGCTGTGACTGAAATCGAAAAGGCTTTTGTTTTGTCCAGACTGAGCTGTGTACACTCACCTTTCATACCTTAGCCTGCAACACACTGCCAAAAAGAAAGGAAATACAGCAGTAATATTTGAGTAATATTCATGTATTAAAAGGAGGAATTTGCACACACTGTATAACTACTTCTTAGGTAAAGTATCCACTTCATACTTCATCATACTTAAGGGTTCAGTTCATTTTATAATTAGTGCCAAAACACACTGTGGAGTAGAGTATTAAAACACACAGAGCTGCTTCTCTCGCCTCGTTGAATTCTTTGTTCTGAAGTTGTCCTGCTGTTCCTGTCCTCTGCTAAGGGTCGAGTCTTGTTGTCCTTTTTTTTTTTTTTTCCTTTTTCATTTTTTGCAATCTCTGGCAGTCATTTTACCTCTGACCAGAACCTTTGTATGCATTTATGTGTCCACGTTTGTCTGTGTTTGTGTGCGTGTGCTGGCGCCCTCTGTGACCAGCTAGTCTTTCCTCGTCAGCGTGTTTGTTCTCTCTCAGCGGGCTCTGTTTGATATCTGAACACAGCTGTGAGACACGAAGAAGAAGTCTGTGTGTTCTACGCATGCATCTGTGAATGTGGGGGATTTTGTTGTGTGCATGTGAGACTTGATGAGGGGTGGGGAAAGGAAGCATAAGTAAGGGTTTGTCATGTGGGTGCATGCATGCATGATGTAGGTGCCTGTACATGGGGCCAGTTGGTATGCAATTAGTTGTCAGTGTCTTTGTCGGAATGCAAATGGGAAGATCAGACGTGCCACTCCCAGGCCTGGAAAACAGAGTGCAGTGTTTCTCTGCTTCTCAGTGGGCTCCTCAATAGATAGCACAGGGTTAGTTTTATAAAAGCTGAGATCAGCTCCCTCACCCTCAAAGCATTCTGGGGGTGGGTTGACCTTGTTAGTTGGCTAGGACTCACTTATCATTCTGTGTTATATGGGTTTTTTTGTTTTTGTTTTTTGTTTCAGTCTCTCTTCTCTTTTTTCCCCCTGAGCATTATATTAAGTCTTGTTTAGCTATGACTTCTTTTCCTCTTTTTGTTTTTAATATTCTCTTTTGTTACTTTGTTGCTTATGACTCTAACATTTGCGATGAAACGCATGTTGAAGTGCCTTTGGGTAGCATACTGAACCCCAGCGTGTGTGTACTTGACAGTTATGGGACGAGGAATTGGGAGGAGGCGTGATCGAGGTGATTGCCTGGGGCCAGGCCTTAGCACATCCTTAAGTGTCTGAAGTAACTACTTGGACCACCACCAACAAGGAGGGGCCATCAGGGTTCAGTAACACTTGGATTGGGTGGCTGTCAAGGGCTCCGGCCCTCGCAGTCTGAACCTCAGTCGAAAAATCTTCTGCTTCCTTGGATGCTGGTCTGGAAGCTCTGGGATACTGTAATGGGCGTTTTTCAGCCTCTGCTTGTAATTGCAAGCAGATACTACTTCTACTTCTTACCTTTGGGAAAAAAAAGTGAGACAAGCTGTTTTAGTCTGCTGCCTTTGTCTTTATTTCATGCAAAGTTAACTAGCTGCTAGCTAAACACAGACTTGATCTTATCGAACAAAATAAAAGTAAGTTGTTCCCCTTTTTTGTTTTTTCTACTCTGATCACTGGCCTGTCCATTTGAAGGTATTCAGTTTTTGCCATTACAGAACCACTTTTACTTGTATGATAAAAACTACAGCATCCATACAGTCACAGTGAATTAAGCTTGTGGGGGACAGCTGTCTTTGATTCCAACAATTCCTTCATCAGATGAACATTTGAGGTCTTTAGACTAGCGACCTGTTTATACTGTTCCTTCAGGTTTCTTTGCATGAATCTTAAAGTTTACAGGGTCATGCTAAAGCGTGTTGATCCGAGCTTGCTGGGGCTGGGAGTTAAATGTTAAAGTGAGGAGGAAGTTAAAGAAAAGAGGAAACAAATTATTGAAGCAGGTCGTACAAGCATCTTATAGAAGATGATATGTGTAAATGACAGTAGCTCCAGTTTACTTCAGAAAGCACTTGACCCTTTAAAAAAAACTGCATTTTCAATCAGCATGAGGTTTGTAATTATCTGAAGCATGTGGGTTTGCTAATCTGGCTTTGTTAATAAATTAGTAATCAGATTTTAGTTGCCTTGTGACTTTGCATGAACCACACATTGAAAGTCAAAGTTCATCATCTTTAGCTAGATATAATTGATGGAGTTCATTAAAACACAATGAGCTTCTCTCTGACTCTTAGTTTCACATTCAGCGCTGTCAGTCAAATCTGCACAGCTTCGTCCGAACTGTCGAATCTTTTGTGTTGCCTGCAAAGATGGGAGGGAGGGAGTCTGAGGCTTTTGTAGCTAAAACCAGCTCATATACACACACACAAATGCACACACACACATATACACAGCTGTTGTAGAGACCACAGAGGAAGCGGAGCCACAGCGCTGCGTGTTCACAGCCAGCCACAGAGCTCTGACAGGCACTGCGTGTGTGTGTGAGTTGGTGTCAGTGTGACTGTGAGCGCTGAAGGCTGAAAAAGTTGGATCTTTTCAGACAGTTCCTCGGGGGGGATGGAGATAGAGCCAGAGTGTAGTCACTAAATCCTGTGAATACTCTTAAGACCGCTGTTATAAAGGGTGTCTTATCGGTGCCTCCCATCCTGTGTTCGGAGGAACACTTCCTAACAGACATGCTGGTCTGCATCATTATTTCTTTGTGGGTGATGATCACATGTTGCTGAGAGTGATTCAGTGTCTTCCTGTTTCTCTGTAGATCCACCGAGACAGAGAGACGTCGTTCCATCAGCCTTGCAATACTCAGCACTCAGGTAAGAGTTACTGGCAGCTCCTGCTGCTCTAAATTTTCATGTCAAAATTGACAGAATGGATATTTTTAATTTCTTAATGGTTATTTCTGTTATGACTTCTTCTTTGGTTCCTTTTGCAGCAATCTGCCTGATATGGGTACTTTGCTGTTAGCAAGAAATGTTTTGCTCTTGGGTTGTGTGTGGATTAGTGTTAATACTGATTAAGCCTGTATCCTGTTTGAAGTGATACTATGTTTCTCTTTGGCCTGGTTAAAGTAGCACTGACATCAAGTAAGATCGTTACATTGTTTGAGACTTGAGAGCAGCAGTTTGTTTGTGAACTTGTGAAAGTAGCTTTTTCTTTCTCCTAGTTTGATCTACTCAGATGACCTAAAACACCAACTTTGACAAAGATAAGATTTTGCTGCCTGATATCGGTGTTGTTAGAGCCCGATCTCGCTCTATTGTTTCTAGTCTGACATTAACAAAAAGTTTCCACTTACAAGCCAAATGGTTGAGTGGTTAACCTGTCACCCCGGACACGTGCCCAGGCTGCCTTTGCGCTCTAATATTCTTGAAACCACACTTTTAAGTGTCTAAGTCTGCTGACACTTGGAGATGTTATGAGGCTACTTTAAAAGGTTTTTAAGTAAGATGCAAATGAGACTTTAAGTAGAAACATGGGCTTTTGACTTGGTGTGTTTTGCCAGCATGTGCACACACAGATGATGAAAAGTTAGATACGGAACAGATGGGGACCAGTGACCCTGATTGCTGTGAAAAGGGCCAGAACATGCACACTCTAATAAGATTTCATCTCTGTATCAACAAGGGCTCATACCGATTTAGACGACTGCTGTTAGGAAAGAAACACTGAAAACCCAAATGAGAAGGAAGTGTCGTTATATAGTTCGTGTTGTCTGTGGGACTGTTGACCAATATAGGCTAGACTCACTGTGTATTATATTTGAATGTTAAATATAATTGTGCTTACAAATAAGGTGATGCTGTGCTTTATATTTCAGTAAAGTCCACAACAATATTTGGTGATATCCCAGTTGATCGTGTATGAAATTTCTGGAATTGACCCCATAAATCATTTAATGTTAGCGTAGGAACACTAGCTTTAAAGGCTTAGACAATTTCCTTCTAGAAGGAAGTTCCGCCACCAACTTGGTAACACGTCAGGGCAGTTATTTTGGCAGTTAACAGATAATGAGAGCCAAAGCTTTAATTTCAGTCGTCAACTTTATTAAGTACATTTTTACAGAATTGCTTGTATGGAGTCCCACCTCAGATATGTTAGAAATGCTTACAAAGTTTAGTTTCTCCAGAAGGTTTAACAACCTTATTGTCCCGCCGTGTTGCACTTTTATTTCAAATGTACAAAGTTATATGACCCTACAGCATCAGCAGTAAGATCATTTAGTATTTTCACTTGTGGTTAAAAATGTCTTGACATTGCATAGTTTTTAAAATTTATTTATGCCCACTTTTTATCACGTCATTTATGCCTGGACCACAGTAGCAGTTTCCTCGAGCCACTCGGGAAGTGTAGCTGGGAAAAATATCAGCTCACTTGTCAGTGCAGCAAGTGGTTGATTGTTGCCATGGGGATATAGTTCACTCAGTATGGGCAATGACTGTAGGAGAAATATTAATGTGAAACATTTTAGATGTTGACACAGATATGTCTGAGTTTGGGCAACAGCCAAAGCAAGATAAGAAAAAGGGATTCTTTGACCTTCATAAGATGAGTCTGTCTGTAGGGAGACTGGTCTCAATAAAAAAAGACCAACAGATCGATGAGCTGGATCAGGCGGAGAACAAACTGCCTTTTATCTGCACTAGAAAACAGATGAAACATCAGTGTGTGTGACAGGGGCAGAGAGGAAAAGAGGCTGAAATGGATGAGACATACTGAGGAAACAAAAAAAAATCAAACATGGAAACAGAAGGGAGAAGAACCATGGGTGTCAAGTGGAAGTAAAAATGGAAGGGTGGGTGACGGTGGGATTTCCTCTGTTGCAGCTTGGATCAGTTGACATCACTTCCTTTTCTTCCTCATTAAGCCAGATGCTTTCTGCCCTCCCTTTCTTTCTCTCTGATAGTTATTTATTTAGTTAACTTGGCAACAGAGGGATGTAATCCATGTTTCAACCACTGCAAAAGTAGTTTTTTAAGTTGCTGCTTGAAACGATTTACTTAAATTTACTTACCAATTTCATTGAATGCTTTTGTAATATACATATAATGACCACTTTATTAATTACAGCCTACTCTCATGATGCCTGTGATATCCAGTCATAGGTAATATGTTGTTTGAATATCATTCAGGTCAACGTTGGTGTTGTAGTGGACTGTGTCAGACTGCTGTTTTTCATGAAAGGTGGTTTATATATGCAGCCCTCTGACTCAGTGCCTCATTGTCTCACTGCATTCAGTACTTTGGTTTAAACGTAGTGAAATCTTCAAAACTGGGCGATGAGTTTAGCATGGTAGCGTGCTATTCTCACATGATCATATTGGTAGGTGTAATACATAGCACTATCATTGTGAGATGGGAGATGCTGGCATCAACACGGCCTTGTAGAGCCAACAGAACAACTCGCTGTGGATTATTATTCTTATTGTGTAGGAACATTAATGGTGACTGGATGCTCCTTTCAGATAGAGGTCAAAATCAAAGTAGCTCACAGTATTTGTTTGGCCATAGAAGAAAAGTTCTCCATGATCTTTTGGTTTTTGGTGTCAAAGGTCAATGTGATTTTACTGACTGCAAAAACCTTCCAGGTGAAAGTCGATACTCAAACCTTCTTCAAAGTCAATATGCACAGTCTTACGCAACTGGACTGCAAAAATAAGAGTCAATCCAAAGTTTGGATACACTTGTACTAGTTCATTATTTTCATTGCATTCCATATGATAAGTAATCATAGTAATAAAATAACATCACCTGACTTCTTCGGTGACCTAGCTGAGCTTTTGTTGAACCAGGAAATTTGGTAATTTGGTACTTTGGTCCTAGCTTTTTTTTTTTTTTTTTAAACTAAATATGCTCGACAGCTCAGTTAGAGGAAGACTAAGCTATGAATACACATTTACAGTGAATTAAAATGATTAGAAGTGGCACTGTAAAATTTCTCATTTATAAATATCATATAAATCTCATTGTTGTTCTGTTGCAAATTTAATTTGTTCAGAAAATTTTTTAAGTAATTATTACCTTTATAAGGAGTTTGTTGCAAAGGCTTCATGTTCACTCTGTGCTTTTGTGCATGTTATTTTATTTATTTATTTACTTACTTACTTTTTAATGTGTCTCAGATAACGAGAAACGCCCACGCTCTGCGGTGTGTTCCAACCTTTGACCTGTACTGTATATTTGTTTGGAAACTGAAGCATTGGTTCTTAGTGAGAACCAGACCTTGTCAGATCTAATCTCTGTGTTGTCTGGAGACACCGTTGTCATCTTTACTTTTAAAGACCTGGGGAAAAAAACTAAACTAAACTTGCTAAGGAGTAATCTTGGTGCTAGACATTGTGTTTGTGTGAAGTAATGCAAATTTTCTGTTGGTTGAAAAGACCCTTGTGATACTGTTTTGCTGTGGATGATCAGGCAGCATTTAGCCATATTCTGTACATCTCTGTAGAAAAGACAGAATAAAGGACACTTAAAGGCAAACAAGCTACATAAATAGCAGTCAGTGTTCAGTGTGTGAATGGGTGGATGACTGAATGTAGTGTAAAGCGCTTTGGGGTCCTTAGGATCTAAGTAAAGCGCTATACAAATACAGGCCATTTACCATAATTTTAATAATTACACATTTATGCAAAACCTCAGTGACTGCAGACATTTCATTTGACTTGATCAGACATTAAAAGAAAAACAAAAAAGAACAGCTGAGGCTGCTTCTCGTGGCTGCAGAACATGTGCATTGTTGTGCTCTAGGGTGAATTATCCCATCATGCTTCTGGTACATGTTGTGGTGCATGTCTGCTGTGGTTTGCTAACATATGTTAAGTCATTGTTCTGCTTTAGAGCATTGTAGGTCGTGCAATACTTTTAGGTAAAGCCTTGTTCTGTTTATCGGAACTCATTTCCCATATTTACAGGAATCATGCTGGATGTTTCTGCATGTGCCGTTTGGAAGGTTTGAATTGCCGTTTTGTTTAATATACTCTGTAAACTGTGTGCAGACAGATTTTTATCTCTGTGAAAAATAGGAGGCTATGTGGTAACATCCTCTACTCAGAAGTATGAGGACTTTGTCCTTTGCCCTTGCTGAATTTAAAAAAACGCATGTTTAATTTTGTAAACGTGTTGAAATGCAGATGGTGAAGTGATACCTGATTATGAACTGAACCAGTCTACAGACAAAGGTCACTCGAAGAAAAAGAAACAGCAAGATGATGGTGTATTTCGCAGGTAGTCTGATGCACTTTGATCAACTTTTAAGAAAGGTTAACTGGAATCTTCAACACCTCCTATGTGTAATAAATCAGCCCAGTTAGACAGAGAACCTTGTACACATTTAATATGAAAAAACACAGGACAAGGAAGTATAGGTCGAAGAAAATATAAATACGATTTTATATGAAAGTTCTGATAAAATCTACACTTAGCTGAGATAAGTGTTTTTCCTAACAGGGAAAACTTGCAGAGAAGAATGTTTCTAACCCAACAGATTATTTTTTATTAATTTTTTTTGGTTACTATGCCGATTATTTCAGACTTGAAATTAGATTAGATTGTATCTACTTTTATATTTTTTTAGCTGCACGTTACACTTATTTTTAACCCTCTGAATTTCCCGGAGGAACCCACCCGAGGGATTAATAAAGTTTCATCTAATCTAATCACTTCGGGGTGTTTTTACCTGCAGTTAAACTCAAATGATTTGAATTGCAGTAATCAAAAAGTAGTATACACTGCAGTATAAAGCTGCATTTCTTTAAATGTAAGGATTGTTTCTGCAAGAAACAAGGAAAGCTAGAACAGTTTGACCGTTCTTTTCTGCGTGCAGCTATACAAAAAAATGTCGCCACCTACTGTAGACCAGTAGGTGGCAATACAGAAGAGTCCTTGACCAATCAGAAGTATTCATCGCTTCAAGCCCCATCCCCAAAGTTTCCATGCTTTGACAAAGTACTGCCTACCAAGTAGGGACTTGGGGGGTAAAATAATTTCCCCAGAGTTTAATTTAGACTCAGGTGTCTGCAGTGGAAATGCAGTTGAAATTCCTTCAAGAGTTTCTACTCTCAGGGGAAAGCTCCTGTGGTTAAAAAGTGACGTGTATCTCTGCAGTCAAGGCCAAGTTTTCTGTTTGTGTCTGCTGGTTTATGAATTTAGATTCATTTTTTAAAAAGCTAATAAAATGCTGAATCTGTATCAGATGTGTTCCCTCTGTTGCTCGCTAGGCAGACTGTTTACCTTCAGGAAACAAAATCCTCCTTTACTACAAGTGGACTTTAAATAGAAACCAAAAATCTTGTCCCCTGCATTTGTATATGCAGATCAATTTATAGAGATTGCATGAAAGGTGCAAAAAAGTGGATATGATATAATATATATAAAGTATATATCTGACCTTCTTCACACTTGGCCAGCAGCCTCAACCACCCGTCGACTCATGAGCAACTTTTACACCTGTTCTCTGAGCCTTTTCTATGTGTGCTGTGGTAGTGGTGTTGGGGTCTGTTTGACACAGAGGGAGGAGGACAGCTGTCAAAACTCACAGTCCCCTGCTAGTTGTGACAGACAGCTGTGAGGGGGGTGGAGTCTGAGGAAAACTCCCTGAGTCCACTTGTGTCACCAGCACTTGCAACTCCAACATTCTCACGCACGTTCATTTTTGGATTGTCTGCTAATAGCGGAAATATGACGTAAAAAGGGGCAAAATGTTTTTGCATCGAGCCACCAATGCACTGTGGTCAAGACTAAGCTCTGTTGCAGCAGTTGAGGTCAAAGGTCAGTGTGGATTTGGTATCTTAACTGAAAAGATCTATTGATGTCATGATATGGCAGCCTTCCCCTTTAATGTTTTCTGCATGTTGTCTACATGTTGTAGTATGAGCGAGCAGGATGTGGTTTGCCCAGTTGTCAGTTGTCATGTAGGAACACGTTGGTAATAACTAAACTTGTGACCTTGTTTCTTCTCAAAGCAGAAACCAGAAATAATCCTGCGCCTGTCATGTTGTGGTGTCTGCTGCAGGACTCATAAAGCAGTGTTGATGCAAATATGGAAACTTTAATTTCCCAAATATGATTTAAACTGCTGACTCCTTTGATTACAAAGTTTCGATTGAGACTTCATGAACTCTTTCAAGTGCTCTAATGAGGAATGATTATTTTCTATAGTAGTGATACTCAAATCTGTGCTGTATTACACAGTTGAGTTCCATCTTTAGTTCAGCCTCTCAGCGCAGGAATGTGCTAATTAGCGAAAACAACTTGTCAGTGTCTGAAAAAACATATGGACTTTTGCTGCTCAATAAGTACTTGAAGCAGCTTATTTGTCTGATATTTTCATGTTTTTGGATTGTTTGTGTCAGGCTCAGACTATTTTAGATAGAAGTGACGGAACCATTGTGTAAGAATTTACAATTAAGGAAGTCTCACAATCTTTATGTCAGGATAGCACCTACCTTTGTCCATTGTGACACACTATTCAGTGGTATCACTCGACCCAAAGTGGTGATGTCCCATTGGCGTTGTAATTGGGCTGATTGAAACATTATGAAACCATAATGTTTGTCGGTGCTGTGATCTGACTACCCTCCTTTCATTAAGAGCTGACTGTGTCGACCTGCTCTCTCTGCGATGTTTGTTAAAGGCGCTCATGGTTATTCTACAGAAAAATTGTATACCCCCACTCCCTCAAGTCTAACAACACTATGATGTAAAGAGACTCCCCACCCCTGACGGGTGCTGAATTTTATAGGGTTATGTTTCTGCCAGCTTCAGGATTCCTCGAGCCATCCTTTGCTGGTGTTGGTTAATTAATCTACTTTTATTTTTAGTCTTGATTTTGGCTGTGAATAATTATGAAAAACAAGATAATCTGCTTCTGCTTTTGGGTTGTGCTGAATACAGGGCATGCTTTATTTTAAATATGCCCTTTTCTGTGGCATGTTTAGTTCAGTTTACATTTATTTATAGATTTGTATTTCTCCACTTGAATTATATCTCATGTATGAGGCATCTACTTGTACCCACTCAGCGACACAGAATCCAGGCTCTTGAAGCATGAGCACATACGTATACAAAATCTAGCTTCCTCTTGCTCACATGAGTGTAGGGGATGCAAGTCTTCCCGGGGGATTAAGAATGACTTCCGGTTTTTGAGCAGAAATAGATGTTTAAAAAAAAAAAATCATAACAACACTGAGCAAATGATCTCATGCAGTTTTTCTTGGCTGCTGGCTAAAGTCAGCCCATTGGTAGATGTCTGTGCCTGAGTACAGGCTTCCTCTTTTAGTTTGGCCTGGAATATTATCTGTGCATGTCCTTACATGTCCAAAAAGCTGTAGCCCCAGAACCTTGTTGCATAACAGTTGTTGTATTCTGTGCTGACTTTAGATTTGGCTGTTTGTAATTCAGTGAGATAGAATAGTGGGTGTAAAGTAAAAATGGCTTGTGGTGAGCTGCTACGGGTAAAGAGCACAGAGACTTACTGAGAAAAACTAACGTGGCATCAGCCGAGGCCTGAGAGTGACTACTTTAAATAGTCATTATTTAAGTAGTCAGTGTGATACACGTGATTCTGACTTATTATAGTTCATATCATTGTGGCTGATATGAACTCGAGTAACTGTCTGCTTGATGTCTGTAATTTCTATCGATCAAGCAACAGAAGTAAAAAATTACTTCTTGCTTTAAAGCTTACAATAAGGTGCAGACTTTGTAAGCATCAGTGTCCATTTGGCCTTAGGGTGACTAATGCAGCTCTTTCATGAAAGCAGTTTTGCAGTACTTCAATAACCGTTTACGTTGTCTTTCTCCGAGTCAGATTTTAACTTCAGTTCCGCCCTGGTACCTTTATGAAACCCACAAACACTGGTTGTTTGCAGTTGAGCACAGACTGCTTTGGTGAGGACAGTCAGCCATTGATCCACCAGGCTTTTCACACCTTCTCAGATTCCCACAAGTCTTTTCACTGATGTCTTACAGACCTGCTTGTGTTTTAGAACAAAGAATGAAGACTTATTGTTTTGGAAACAAGGTGTGTGTGTGTGTGTGTGGGGGGGGGGTCAGTTTAACAGCCTCTGTTGAGAAACTTATCAGTGAATGTATTTTAAATCTGATTTCACAAGAATGCTTCGTTTCTCCTCTGTTTGATTTTAACCCTGCGATGTGTTAAATGTCGTGTCTTTCAGGATCCTCAGAGTCTTCAACATTTTCCAGTTTGCCCAGTAGGACCAGCAGTGCCACCAGCTGCCCCTCTTCAGCTCACAGAGACTCTGGCAGTGACATAGAGAGCTTCCTGAACACAGAACCCGGATATGACAGCATCTTCAGAAAGGTCTGACCCCCATCAACTTCAAATCAATGTTAAAGTGCTCAAAAACAATTCTTTTAAACTGGTTTAATTATCTGTGCAAAGTGAGAAAAGCAAATGAGGACAAATCTGTGAAGAAATATATATTTAAAAATGTAAACAAAAACATTGCCACTATATATGCTGTAGAATGAACTTCTTACACATCCAAACTGCAAACACATCAATCATTAAATGTATAACTGAGGAAAAATGTAGCAGCCAATTCCCTGTTTACTAAATCCTTGGCTGGCTGTGGTCCAAACATCCGGTTCAGTTGCGCTGAACACTAAGAATATATTTTGCCTCTGCAACTATTTCTATAGGGATTATATACTATATATGAAGTATCTATTTTCTCAGTCTGTGTCTGTTTTTTTATTTATTAGTACCCTGAGGCAGAGATGCCAAACATCTACTAAGCATCTTTTTAAGCCGGCAGCTCTCCTCCGCTGCTGGGAAAGTGCAAGCTGTGGTCCCTGCTGTCACTCTGCTGCTGTTGAAAGTCTGTTTGAAGCCAGGCACCCTTTGGTTAAAGTTGAAACACTTGTATCTCTCAGTTTCTGCTGTGTTGAGCACTTGAAACATGCTCATTGTAATGTGAACCGTATGTCATGTTTGGTGCAAACAAAGCCAGAGAAGAGAATATCATGCTGCCTGGGAGTATACAGTGTGGTGCTGAGGGTTGGGACACTGTAGATAGGCCGTGATGGGCAAAATGAATCCGCACAAAGACTACAGAAGCTAAATTCTGAAAGAGAGGATTAACGTCTTTGCTGCTCCCTGAAGGGAAACGCTTCTTTTGTGAAATGTAATACTGTAAATGTAGAATAAAGAGGACATAGACGGTTTCAACAGTCGTGACTTATCTGAGTTTAACATGTATGTTGTGCCATCAGATAACATTTAAAATCCTGAAATAAAACAAAGTTTAAAACTCAGCTGGGTCCTTCTCTTATAGCGCTGAAGCTGACGTTCACATGCAATCTCTGCTCTTGATGTATGCTCATGCGTTGTCCGACTCCCAGAGGAAGTTGTGTTTGCAGCATAAAGCAGATCTTTCATTCGCAGCTCTCCGACAGAAGCAGCTCTATGCTCGGCCCTCACACTGCAGCTGGCAGCACAATAGACCCAGTTAAAGCTCACACCTACAAATTAACTCTAAATGGACTATCCCAAACCTGTGTGTGTGTGTGTGTGTGTGTGTGGGCAGTCGTTTTTTCCCACCATTCCCAAAGAGTGGTTTTACTAAAACTATTTGTTTTCCGCGTGCTTCTTATATTATAGAGCTGTCAGGTGAAGACTTGTCAAGAAATCAGCAAACTATACACAAGCATATGGCTAATTAACTTGCAAGAATACATATTAGTTTACACATATGCGGTGTACGTACACTTTATATTTGCCAACTGCTAACTGCCAACTGTCTGTGGATCTGGATCACTAAAATGGTCCTGTGACAATGACAAATGGACTTTAAAAAGACTATATATCACTAAGAAGTGTTTTCCTGGGAAAGGTTTGTTTTAACAAGGTTGCTATCATTTATTGGTGTTTGTTATAATGCCAGTGTTGCTATAAAGTGGCGCTGGCTCATTATCCCTAAGCCATGCCATTTGGTCCTCATTATATTCCATTCCTGTGGGTTAAATGGCTCTTCAGCTTACTCTTAATTCATCTCATGCCTCAGTGAAGAAATGCTGATGGATATACAAAGTGATAGCCCCAGTAATTAACAATGATTTCAAGGACATCTGTTTTGCTGTGTTATGTTTTATTCATATTTATTATGCTGTGTTGGAGTGCCCTTTTTTTCCTGTTCTGTTACATTCTGCCCTTAAACTGCAGGTGTAATAAAATGGCAAAATCACATTATGGATCTTAAATAGTCTCCTGTTATTGGGGTTGTGTGGTCCTCCATATAGAAAACACTACGCTACTTCCAGATGAACAGAATGAACCTTTTGGGTCCTTCATATAGTCCTATTGTTCCCTTGTAGGATTGTAGGATACCGTCACCAAGGCCAGGGTTAATGTAAGGTGGTGCTATCCACTCTGTGTAATGTGTACCATGTGACCCAAGCAAAAATAGAACCAGCCAGTGAGAGGGCAGGAGAGCTTTGTTCACTTACAATAAATGATTTAGCCTTATGCACTTAGGGACCATAAATGGATAGATATCAGCTGAGCAGCTGTTGAGACATAGCGTCTGCAGGCTTTTTTGTGGGATTTTTTTTGCCGTTGATTATCACTAATTCCTCAAGTTGTCATCCACAACCTTGCCTCACAATAGCTTAGTAAGCACACACATGTTCTCACGCTCCACTTCCTGTGGTTCTCAGAGCAGAGCCAGACTCTTCACACTTTCAGTTACTGTTCACGGTTCACAAGCGCATTACTTGATTAAACCTGGAAATTAATACTTTACGTGGAAACAGTTGCATTTACATATGTCCGCGCTCCCTAAAATAATAAATCAACATTTTATTAGTGTGGCATTGACTTCATATAGTGCTGATTTAGCATACTGGCTCATGATAAACCATAACTTTTTGATGGTACAGTAATGCTTTAAAGTAGTGTAAAGTTATACCTTTTCTCTTTTTGGGATGTCTTTCAGAATGATGAACCTGTGACTGGAGGAGACAGTGCCAGCGAGGTTTCGGTCTCCTGCTCTTCCACAGACGACACCGCCAGCGTCGGCCCGACCAGCTCCAGCCCAGAGGGCAGCCAGGGCCTGGGCTGCAGCTGGAGTCCAGAAGAGGGCATCCAGACCGTGGCACCTACCACTGAAGGACTGGACAGTGAAGGTGGAGAAGGAGGAGGGGCAGGAGAGGCTGAAGAAGAGGCCAAAGATAGAGTAACTGAGGTGCCGCGGCGTTCCTGTCTCTTTCGTAACAGTAACCGTTCCCTGTCACCTCTTCGCCGCCACAGCTGGGGTCCTGGAAAGAACAACGGAGGAGACGGAGAGATGAACCAGAGGAGGTGAGAGTGATGAATACTGGGTTCTTCAGGATGAATAATGTCTAATTGCATTGTTGATGAAGTGGATGTAGAAATAGAAATGTTTCTCCTCCGTCCTAGATACTGGCTGCTGGTGTTAATCTGGTGTTAGTCAGTAGATGTCAGCAGACTTGATGTGTGCCTCTTTCAGCATTATTAGAGCTTGTTGATGTCAGTCCTTCTGTGCCATGTTGAGTGTTTCCTCTTCATGCTGTGAGCAGCTGTGTTGCCATTTGTCTTGCGTTGGCAGGGAGCTTCCAAAATTGTACACACAGATGCTTATAAACAAATGCACAGATACGCACTTCAACATGAACACATGTTCTCACGCTTTCACATTCAGAGCCACACTGTACAGTTGTCACGAGTTGACAACAAGATTATTTCACACACATCGGTTCAATAGAAAGGCTAACAGTGACTTTTAGAACGGGACTCTTAACGCTGTTTTGTCATCACTGCTCAAATGATTGGCTCTTAGCGATGGTCTGTAGAGGAATTTACATGCAAGTTTCTTTTTAATATCCCCTGTCTTATTAAGTTTTTCCTTTTGACAGTAGTGTATATTTCATATGTGCATCTGTGTGTTAAAGCCTGACGATACTGGAGACCATTACTCATTCACAGGGAGTCTAAAAGAAATCCATTAATCATATATTGGCCATTGTTTTTAGTATATGGCAAATGGCCAGGAACTTGTATAGCACTCTTCTACTCTGAGTACTCGAAACGTTTTTTACTACAATCCTTATTCACACAAGTACTTTTTTCTTATACCTTACGTCTTACGTTTGTGCACATGCTCACGCTCCGATGGATGCACTGGGGCAACTCCGGTTCATTATGCCCAAGGATATTTCAAGATGCAGATTAGAGTAGCTGGGGATTGAACCACCGGCCTTTCAGTTATTAAGTAACCTGTGCTGCCTCATGAGCCACAGAGCTTAGATGTATATATGCAGGCATTGTTTTACAGCAACTTTTGATATCATTATTTACTTTTTAGATAAAATTATTTATTTCAAAAGTTAGGCAGCAACTTAATGTAAAAATGCCTCTTGCCTGCATCACCATCTGCTCAACTGTGATACAACTCTGCAATGTATTGGTGGCAGTTTTCCCGCTTTAAGTGGAACTTTAGAGCATTTCTATCCCACAAACGGAGACATGTCACACATTGTGATAGGCTCTAGCTTCCAAACACTGGAGGACAGTGTTTGGAAGTCTGGCCTATACCGGATGGCCATGAAGAAAGCATGCATGGTTAATATGCCGTCTTGTTTTGCTACCCAGATTTCCTGATCATAATAAAGTCAAAAGCTAGGCTCATTTCTCCAGCTTTGCTAAGTAACTCATATCATATCATATCATATCATATCATTATAGATCAACCTAAATAAGGACCAGTCACATAGAAGCCTACTGACTCGCTAAGTAAAATCATAAAGAGGGTACTGCGACCTCCTCTAGTCAACATGTAATAGTGGATTAACAGGTGTTATTAAAGGAGGGAAACCCTCCAAAAAACGGACGGAGCAGTGGAGCAGCCAAGGGAACAGAACGATATAAAAACTGTATCACTAAAACATAAGTTTTTATACAAAAACAGTTAAAAATTTAAAAGCAATTAAAACAACCCTGGCCAGGGAGAACACACAGTAAAAATCTAAATAAAACATAAACACACTAAAAGTCCAGTGGGGTCAGCCATGGCGTTAACATCCAGTAAAATTGGAGCGGGCAAGGAAAACCCGGCGGCGTCCTCGGCTGTCCTGTCAGTCTCTCTGCTCCGACGTGCCCGTATGGGCAAAGCTCCTAACGCTGCCCGCTGCTTTTCTGTAGCACACCAGCACTATGGTCTCACCGTCGGAGGTAGGGCGCTGTCCCACTCCAAACTAATCCCCCACCACAGTGTCCTCTGGCGTCAAGCTATTCCAGCAGCAGCACAGCTCTCACTGCTTCTCTACGCACTGGCCGTCATATGCCCTCGCCACGTACTGCACACCAACGCCGCCCTCTGCTTGCGGCCGCCGCCGCTGCCTGCCAGCATCTACTCCGCCATCTCTGCTGCCCTGCTTCTCCTGACCGGCTAGGCCCTCTTATTGGGCCTCTGTGACCTCCCAGGTCTGCCAAGTTTGTAATCAGGGAGGGGTATAGTCTCTCCAGGACAATTCAACAATAAATAAAATAAAAGCATGCAATAAAACAAGAATAAAACACTATACAATATTAAAATATTAGCAATAATAAAACACAGCAACTCATGCGAGATAAAAATCTAGTTAACTTGTCCATTTCCACCCCGTGACAAACACAAACCCAAAATGGAGAATGTTTGCCTTGAAAGTAAAAGTCGTGGCTTACCATTTCACAAGGTGCAAATTGATTCTTCTATGCAAACTACAGGAAACCGTGGCAATCTGCTAGCAAACAAAACAATTGCAAGGAGGTTTTTCTTTAGTGCAGCACCATATACGTCGTTGCAACTTGCAACAGTAACCGCTCCAGCAAACACTCGCCAGCCTGTCAGGGAATACACATTTTTCCCTATAAACAAAGGTTACCAGGGGGTTTGCCTGTGTGTGAGTGGGGTCTAGGACACATATTTTTTAAAAAAAGACAAAATAAATGTAATGAGATTTTAAATTATGAGAAAAACAAGATTTCGGAATGTCTCATATAGTGTTTGGTGACATTTTAAAGTAACAGTCTAGCATTTGGTAATTATGCTTATTTGGTTGCCAAAGATTATTAGGAATCCACAATAAAAGGGACATGAGTGTTGCATAAGCCCTACTGAAGCATTTGATCTGTTCAGTCCACACAAACTCCATCCTCAGACAGAGATGCCAAACAGATGTCTGTCAGCACAGAGGAGCTGAAAGGAGCAGCTGGTCTAAACAGAAGTTTACTGGATAAAGGCAGCTTTCATGTGGTCGCAGCAGGAAGGAATCATCGATACTTTTAGATACAGTGTGGTATTATGGTGCGTTATGTTCGTCAAGTTCAGTAAATTTGTTTGGTTTAAACAGCTGTCTGTGGAGACATCATGCACCACAAAGTGTGCCTGAAAAAATTGACTTAAAGTGTGAAGCAAACAAACGAAAACATGGGGCACCACAGATGCATTCCTCAGAGTCTCTGCCGATGATACAGAGTCCTTCTTCTGATAGATTTGAAAGAATGAAAATCTGTCTAATTTCTGAGGTGGACAAGTAACCGACTGCAGAATACTCTTTGAAATGTGAAGTGGCCTTCAAAATAGTGTTACCATTAAAAACCGGGAGGCTGTTATCATAGTTTAGCACAGACTGGAAATAAAGCCTGGTAATAGGGTACCAGTGCGCCCACACTACTCTTAACTCCTCCGGTACCAGCAACTCTAAAGTTCACTAATTAGAGGATAGGTTATCTTGCTAAATGGTATCACAGGGGATGAATGCACAAGGATAATTCTTGTCGGAATCCAGTAACATCCTTTAAAGTTGACTTCAGAGGTTGTCCACTGACCAGCAGAGACTCTGTCCTTCATGTGGTTATGATACAAATAGGGTTTCTGCTCATAATACTCAACTGGAACTCTAACTTTGAATCCCAAACATTTTGTTTGACACATTTCTGTCTGTTGAGTGTTTCAATTCATGCTGTGTTATTATCAGTTGATTAGAAGATGTACAGTTCCACGAAAAAGAACATTTTCACAGGATTATGTGCAGTCATGTGAAAAATAAAGTACACCTTTATTGCTTTCATACAAATTAAGAGGGAATGTAGCAGGTATGTGCTGATATTCCAATACACTGGCTTCACTAGTCATCGGCAAGTGTGAAAACCTCTATAAAAGCTCAAGTTTTAAGAATCTTCCGACCTTCCAGTAAATTCACACCAAAGTCAGATCCTGCAATGCCACAAACAGAAGAATGACATCAGACTCTGCAGGCCTCAGTTGGCCTTTTAAATGTTAAATTTCATGGAAGTACAGACAAAAAAAGACTTCTTTGCCAGGACAAAGCTTAAAAAGAATATGAAGCACAACTTGGCTTTGTAAAATTGCATCTGAATAAACCACAAGACGTCTGAAACATTGTCCTTTAGACAGATGAGGTCAAAGTGGAAATGTTTGATAATAATTCACAGCTCTATATTTGGGGAAAGCCAAACGCAGCATATCAGCACAAACACCTCATACCTGCTGTCAATCACTGTGGTGCAGGGGTGATGATTCAGTGCTTTCCTGTTTTTACTTTTTTTTCTTTGGGCACCTTCATTTGCAATCACTAATGTCCACAAACATCAATGAACTGAAACAATGTTATAGAGAAAAGTTGGCCAGACTTCCTCCACTAAAAAATGTGAGAGAGTGATGTGTGATGACTCATACATGAAATGATTACTTCAACTTAGAGCTGCTAAAGGTGCTTCTACAAGCTGCTGAATGATGAGATGCAAGCTTTTGCCTGTGGAAACTTTAGTTTGTACCAGCAATCTCACTGTGAGGTGGGAATACTAAACATCATTTTGAAACTATGAGCCAAGATATCACCACAATTATTTCATGCTTATCATCTTTCATCATTTACTCTGAGTACAGCAGTCTGATCACTCTTGTCTTCTCTTAGATCATTACCTATACAGTAGTAGCCATAAAAATCCAATGGTCCCATCGGCAATAAGAACAGTTCGTTGATTAATTATTTTCTTGCTGTCATGGCTTCGGTTCAAATCCCACTTCATTTCCACCTTCATCCACAACTCTGTCTCTGTCTCCGTCTCCATCACCTCCAGTTCCACTCGTAGCTCTGGTGAGAGGAAGCCGGCCTTTCACAGGAGAAGGTATTAATACATCACATTCATCAGTTCATGTTTTGTTAAGCTTGCCCTGCTTTTTAGTGGCATGCTATGGCAAATTTATGCAGTCGTGCCCTTTGTGGACCTCCCGGCTTTTAATGTATGCTTGCTGAACTGCTGTTGCATTCTCTCCGTCCCTGCAGGCAACTGCTCTGAAAAATGCTGCTCTCTTTTCACCCCCGTTGGAGTTTGTATGAAATACTGTGGCAAATGGGTGGTGGTGGCACCGCTGTTTTGTATAGCATTGGTAATAACAAGCAGCCACACAGAAAGAGAGGAGTTTAGCTCCTCTCTTTCTGGAGGCTGAACTGCATTGGCTAGAGTTTTAGAACAGACGATTGTTTTTTATTTTTTTTTATTTTGTGGGTTTAATAACTTCCTGTAGAGAATTATTCAAAACTCTAAAACATCAGAAGACAGAAGACAGTGGGCTGCAGCAGTAAAAACAGAATGCAAGTTGTTCTCACTGCAAAATAGCTTTGTTGACTGTATGAAATGTTGCTCTTTGACCCAGAAGGAGGAGGGAGGAAGCAGTGGAAAAAAAAGAGTCAGCATCTTTCACTTGATCTTGATTATATGCAGAATAGATCTATTTCAACTCTGCTGGGTGAGCCGAATGCTTACACTCCTACTCAGAAAGTCTGTTGGATATGAAAATGTTTGACAACAGTGTCTGAAAACGGTAAAAGGTTTCTTTAGTAAGACACATCTGAAGTGTGTCGTGGTTATTGTAGTTAATTAAACTGAAAACTAAGCTAGGAGTGGAAAAACTTCTTCAGTTAAATAAAATAAAAATAAAACTAGGCTGTAAATAGTAATATATATGAAGCGATATTTTGCACTAATGACTAAAGGCTAATTAGAATTAGGTATTTATATTTTAATAACTGGTGTAAACATGTCAACTCTTTCTCCTGATTATTATCCTTTTAATAAGGTCATCAAAATGAGTTAAAGTAAGACTCAAACTAAAATGTAACATTTTTAATAAAAACTTACTAAAAAAAATATCTAACTGAAAATAAGTTTGTTCAGGAATGGTGTAGAGAGCTTCTTGGTGATAAAAGACAGGTTCATGGTGTAGATTAGCGTTGTCAAACTCATTTTAGTCCATACAGTCCAATTTGATCTCAAACGGCAGGGACCGGTAAAGACTGACAATGATTCACTCTCATTAGGTGATTCATTCTTACACTGAAAAGTACAAATATTAAGCCCTTCATCTCTGAAGTATTCACGGCTGTCCAGTGGACTGGACTCTTTGTTGGGCTAGTTTGACTGAGTTTGACCGAAGTGCTCCACAAGTTAGTTAATGAACAAGAGAAAAAAACAGAAAAATAAATACAGAAAATAAAACATGAAATGAAGTTAATACAATATATTTAACATAAACAAAAACCAATATCTATACCCACCGCTAGCACTAGTGTCTTCCACACTTGTGCTAGTTTTAATTAGATGCATAATCACAGAATCACAATCAGGGTTAAACATTACTTATATTTTTGACTTCAGTATATATTAACGACTCCTTGGTCCACAGACTGTAGTATTTCTTACCTCCAGATTCTCATCACTTGCTGGCTGACATGTATTTTAATACAGATATATCAATGCTTACTAGCTAATAATGGCCAATAATATCACCCCTCCTCCATCTCTGTCAAGTTGTAATGAAGACAAGTCTGTTATTGTCACAGTCCACTGCTGTAACCATCTGGTCACATCTGTCACGTTCAAGAAGCCAGCGGCCACCCTAGCAGCGGCTCCAGCTGTGTTAATGGTGCCTTGGCTATTCTGCCAGTTTTTCATTTCTGGGAAACACCCTGGGTTCAACTTGATTTCCTGCCTGCTACTAATATTACAACAACGCTGCAGCAGGAAATCAGCTTTAACCAATTTGCAATGTTTATGCTTCACGATGTAAAGTACATTCACTCTGCCCAGTTATTTCAGAATAACGCCAGTGTTCTCAGATACGCCTGCAACTCTATCCTCATGTCCTCATCTGTGTGCTTCACTGCCACTCTGCCATACTCTCTTATCAATCTTCCCATCACTCTCCTAACCTCTTTCACCTCACTTTCTCTTAGTATGAGCATGTGCCCCCGCCCCCTCGCCATTGGCTACAGTGTGGAAGTTGTTTCCTCAGGTGTACTGCATTACTGTTTGATGTTTTCTTATTTGCCGAGGGCACATGTCCTTATTTGAACATGGGATATTTACATGCTGCTTGATTTGCATTAGCCGTTGTTGTGGGTGTTTTTGTGTGTATATGAATGCCCAACCCTTTCAGTCAGCAACCTTCTACACCAAGGAGAGAGAGGGAGCTGAAATAGCTGCTAGTGTTTGAGCATGGAGGGCCCTGTGGCTCTGTAGAATAGTATGTAATAATACTGCCACCAAGGAGGCCTTAGTATGACAGATATAGCCATCTACATTCACAGCCCTGAGGATAGGTGAGTGCTGCTCCACTCTGGACACTTATAATCACCAAATCATGATTCTTTTACTCTGGTTTTAGTTAGTGAAGCTTGGATGAGTTGGACTGATGATTTGCTGGATAATGGAGTAGCATACAAACCCATAGGCCGGAGATGAGAGATTTACTGCTGGAGCTTTAACTATCATAGAGTCTGTCCTGAAGCGAATAGAGCTGCAGCCTCGTGGCATAGCTCATCCTGAAATGTAGCAGTAGTTTTCCTCTCCATAATCATTGGATTGGATTTTTCAAGGCCTCTTATTTCTAGTCATAGCTCGATGTAATTGGGTTTGTAAATCACAGCTGCAGAGCTCTCCATGCTGATGCTGATGTTGGGAGTCATTTGCAGCTGCTTCAGCTGTAAATCTGCTCCAGAGGCTAGTGATAACTCAGCTGGCTAAACACAGTGTAGGACCAGCTGTGTGTGTGTGTGTGTGTGTGTGTGTGTGTGTGTGTGTGTGTGTGTGTGTGTGTGTGTGTGTAACAACAGGTACATCTTTGTGTGTGTTTGTGTTTGCTGCAGCGACAGTTGTGTACATTCAGAAAGATGTGATTATGTTGAATACAGTGTGTGTTCTTTTATTGAGGTCATCTCTGCTTTCTGTTTGTACACAGTTACAGCTTGGAGGGGCTCAGTGGAAGCCCTGAAGAGCTCAGGGGCCCCACCAGCCAGGGGCCCCGTATCCTAGAACCTATAAGGATTCCCCGGCAAGACAGCGATGACAGAGGCTCTTTGGTTTCTCTGACAGAGGAACAGGAGGACCGGGGGGAGTATAGCAGAGTGCATGACCCGGTGAGCTAATAAACACACTCACACATGAAGTTTGTTGATATGTTGCCACTTCTTTACACTGTCACACAGTCGGCCACCAAGAGATCCTGAAAAACCCACACAGCCTAATTCACGAGAGAAAAGAGTCGTTGTAAAGCTTGTACATAAACAAGACTTATAAACAGTCAAGGGAAATCTGAGCCTTGTCAGTTTGGGGATTAGTGAGACTTAATAAACATGACTTTCTTCGGGCAGATTTATACTTCTCCCATTGAATTTAAAACAAATTGTAAACATAATGTCCCGATTCAAAATGCCGAGTTTCCTCTTTTAGTTCATGTTCCTGTTTCCAGTTGACTGGCTGGCAATGCTTTGTTCCACATTATCGCTGCCTGGCTCACTCCATTTTTTTTTTTAACATTTTCATGCACTTGGTTTCATTCAGTCTCCTGTCTCTTGCTGCAGAAATCCAGACGATATCGGCCCCTGCGAAACAGCTGTCCTCCCATGAGTCTGCCCCTCACTAAGTCTGTATCTATGCTGGCCATCAGCCAGAGAGACATCGATGGTGAGTGACACGTTATGAGGCAGCTATCAAGTTCCTTCTTGTAACATTCAGCCCTTTTCTTCACCCTTTTATCCTTTGGTTTTATTTGTTATCCTCTTTAGGCTTTAACTTACTAAATTTAAGTACAATGCCAAGTCCTCATTCTTCATTTCCTCATTTTAACATCACCAGACTCAGCAGAGGGACACAATCATTTCAGCTTGTAATTGGAAATTTAGAGTTCATTATGTTTTTCACTGTAAGCCCCATCGCAAAGAGAATAGAAAAAAAGGTCAAAAAGCTAGATAAAGAGAGAAAGTGGTAGTTTAACATGCAGATATTTAAACTGAATCGCTCTTATTACACGTTTCCCGTACATCTCCACTTCCTGCCCCCATCCTCACTATTTATTAGGTTATTATATATTTCAATAAGTGATCAGTGCCTGTTGTGGTTCTTTCCTTCCTGCTCCCCAGCGGTGGGACGCCTGAGACGTAAGAGGCGAATTTCCTTCTCTTTCAACCTTTCCCCCATCCTCACCAAATCTAAGTCTCAGTTCATTTATGGGGACTCCTCATCTAGTGATGATGAGGATGACTTCAGTAAGTACTGACATGTAAACTTAGCTGCAGTAGAAAATAGCTGTGATGTCAGAAGGAGAACAGTAGCTGCTCCGGTTAGCAACCTGGATCTGAGCTGCAAAGATGACAGCGATGCACCCAGATCAGCTAGCAGCTAGCCTGATACCCACACTGAAGTGTTTACTTGTGACTCAACATGAAGTGTGTGCGTGAAACGCTTCCTAGACTGAGTCAAACAGAAGAAGCAAAGTTGTCTGAAGGAAAATTAAAATTTTTACTCTTTAAACTTCATCAAAGATAAAGTCCAAACATTCAGCCGCAACAATCTTGTCATGAAGAAGCTTCTAATTGCTGCTGATATTAATCTACTTGCAGTGTGAGAATGCAATTAGACAACGCTTGTAGCCAGATTGCTAGTGTAGAAAATCACCTTTCGCCTAGGCAGCATTGTGTTTAAATTATAATCCATGTTGACAGCAATAAATAAGACCTTGGCTTCTCGTGTTTCCTACGCAGCACAAGAATCGGATGACCTTTACATAAACTAGCTTTACTTCAGTCTTTTTGAAAAAACTGAAACACAATTACCAGAGAAAGAGGAAAATAATCATAAACACCGCAGGTGAACTGAGGAAGCCCTTTCTTCTCTGCAGATAAATACGAGCCTGTCACCTTTAGTCAAAGACACCGAGGCATTCCTTCTTTTTTCTTATCTGTGCAATATTTCCATTAGCACTGTTCTCTGTCTCCTTGTCTCCATTGCTGGGAACACAGGCAGGCCAAGATTTTGTCCTCATTATCCTGTTTTGGGTTTGACTTTCTTCTGCAGCGCATGCGAGCAGCGCTTTGCATATTTTCGTGTGCGTCTGGATATTGGTAGAAATGATTGTTTAGAGAGAAGCAGCTCGTTGCCTAGAAAAGATGCATGCCTTATGTTTAACTCTGTGCTTAACGTTTGGCACAGAGATTAATTGAAAAACACACATGTTCTGGCTGTTACTGCAGCCAGAAAATCCAGATTTTCAACAATAGAGTCTGGGAGGAGCTACACCCAGCATAGCTTTGTTCTAATAAGATGAGCAAACCAAAAAATATGAATTTTGCCCGAGTCATCATTCATTGTCCAGCCTTCAATGCACGATAATTTAAAACTCTATAATTTTAGTCTTTGACTGTATTACAGCCCCTCATTTATCCCCCTGTCTCAAAACAGAGCAGTTTAGCTCACTTCTGTAGAGCACAGAGCTACAGCAGGTGAGGACTGGCCAACCAGGGAAAAATAATAACTACATTTGTGATTGTGCTTTTATTTTACTAAAATTATACTTCAATCATTTTTATTGTTAATTATTACTTGAAATTGGCCTCTGAAGTTGGGGATGGCAAAAAATAGCTTTTACACTTTCTGCTGATTGGCTGCCCCTTGCAGTTGTGTGGGGTTGTTGTGTTTATAGTTTCAGCTTTGTGCTTTAGTTGACCATAATTGGGGGGGGGGGGGATCACAATAGGTCACCTTTAAAGGACATGGTAGAAAAGGAAGTCCTCGACATAGCTGTTGGCCTCCTTTAGTCATGTCAGTGGGTTGTCAGTTGTCACACAGCTGTACAAGGGTACCTAAAGTGTTGCATATTTACCTTTAGGGAGCCAAATCTGTAGCTTACTCTCAATTATAATCAGGAAAAATAAGAAAAGTGCGGTCAGCCCCTAAAGACATATTTTTTTGTTTTTACTATCCTGCCACTCACTTCCTCTCCTTTTTTTTTCCAGGTATGAGATTTTCCAGCACCTCTGGGTCACTAGCATACAGGTCAGTCTAATCCTGCGCTTACATTTTACCAGAAAATTGTTCTTCAGGCTTTCATTGCTTGGAGGACCTTTTATAGTCCTATAAAGAGCAGTGTGGAGTAGTGGTCAAATTATTCCATAAGACCTTTATGGTGCTTCAAAGAACCATTTCACAATGTGTGAACAGGTATGCTGTGTGAATGCAGCTGCTGGAGATGAAATTAAACCTGTTTGTGTGTTCCAGTATATCAGAGGAGGAGCCTGGGCCTCTGCGGAGTGACACAGAGGGAAAGAGTGTGACAAAAGTTAGCCGGACCTTCAGCTACCTCAAGAACAAGATGTACAAAAAGACCAGGGTGAGGGAACATAGAGTTTTTCTTCTTTTGACTACACTTCACTGTAGTCTGCTTCTTACAGTTCATTCAGTAGGCAACCACCTTCAGTGTTTTCTTACAAGTGTATCCCCTTTGAGCAGTGAGCAGTTAATGCCCAACCACAGTTTTCAAGTATTCACACATATATGAATCTTAAGCTTCTTGTTCTGTTGGTCCCTGACTAGCTTCAGTCTCACAGCAGGGCTGTTATAGGCAGTTCTACACATGTTTGTCCTCTTTTTCTTTTCTTTGTTTTCACTACAACTCCCAATAGGTGCGTGGTGTATTAAGCAGGCGGCGATTAGCATAGCAACAACTAAACTACAACCACAAGAATAAGTTGGAGCATACTGTGCGTTTGAGTTTCCTGATGGCAGATGCCTTGCATTCTGATTTAAGTTAAAATAACATAACATTACGAGTGGCTAATTGTCTTTTTATGTCAGGTGTATCACAGACGAACCTCAGGCAGAGCTCCCACTGTGGCTGGTAATAGGATCCAGAATCCTTATTAAAGTCTGTTTACGTGTGGCAGCGTAAGCCAATGTTGGCATCAGAACTGAGTCATGCTTTGGTGTTTCAGATTGATGTGCACCCCTTGTTTTGGGAACCGGGTGCAGGCAGGTAGAAGGCATGAATGTAAGATCATGTTGGTCTTTACCACCATTTCAAATAAACATCAGTACAGGAGCTCAGAGATTCTCCGATACAATGTGAGATGCTGCAGGAGTTTGAAAAGATGACACTCTCCAGAGAAAACTGTGGGAAAAACCTCCAATTTCTTTGCTTCTACGCTTATAACAGTGCTCCTGAATCTCGGGTCCTTACTACTCTCTTGAATACCTATCGTTCAAATCGCGATTGTACTTTTGCAGCTTTGCAGTTGGCATGCAAAACAACCAATGAGATGACCATAAACTAGGCTTAACAAATCCTTTCCATCTACTCTACAAACAAATGCATGGCTCTTTCCAAGGATAACATGCAGTAAACCAAACCAATTAAGCTTCACTTTGATGAATGTGTCATTTAGTTTCTATTCTAGCGTCATTATTTTCTCCTTACGCTGGCTTCACTCTATGCGAAAAAGTTAGTTGAGAGGAAGTACTTTTGTTTTCCTTCAAGGAGGTGACAGGAGTTTTTATTTCCTCTGTAGCACACAGGCTTAATAACGCCTGGTCTTCCCTGCCAGCTCAACTGTTTGTGTTTCATGTTTAAGAGCTAACTGATGGTTTTGCTGTAATTTCTATGTTAAGTTTACGTGTTCTTTTTACAAATAAGACGTTCATCATGTTGCAATGCATGCTTGCATTCAGACCACACACTTATGTCAGTTAGAGCTTCCCCTTCTGCTGGAGGATCAACCGTAAAGTAGGAGGTAAAAAATGACAGACAAATGAGCTTCTGAGAACTTTGATGGTCCCTCATGCAACGCCACACAAAAGACTTCCTTTAAAAAGTTCTAAGAACTATGAATAGGCCCCTCTGGGTCAAAAGCTCCTTATATGTCCTGCCTTTGCCCAAGTCGTTGTTAGATGCAACTTCCCACTCTCAAATTTCCCAAGCGCCTCACAGCAATGTCTTCTCAGAGAGATAAGCCTCTATGTAAGATGTGGTCAAAGCAGACTTTCTTTCTCCTGCCCTTCGTACTCTGTTAGGGGATCTAGCTGCAGTGTCTCCATTCCTGTCACAGGGTGACAATAATATGCTGTTAGTTTGTTGAAATATCGATCAGTTAAAGTTACTTTATGGTAAATGGCCTGCATTTGTATAGCGCTTTTCTAGTCCCTAAGGACCCCAAAGCGCTTCACACTACATTCAGTCATTCACCCATTCACACACACATTCACACACTGGCGATGGCAAGCTACATTGTAGCCACAGCTGCCCTGGGGTGCACTGACACTTTAGTGAAACAATGGCTTCAACACTATTATGACATGGAAATTATTGTACAGTACTGCATTTAAAAATCACAATGCTCAGCACTGCTCACTTTAAATTGCAGAAGTGGCATTTACTGTATTGCAGTAGCCATTAATATGATTTAGGAATACAGTTGTCTGTATCAAGACTTTAAAACTCAACGGGGTAGCTGTGGGTGCTTAAAAGTAAAAATAATTGCATTCAATCTTCTCCCCAAAAAAGAGGCCTTGGAAGGTATTAAATAGTCTTACATTTAATTCACAGATTATAAGCAGTAATGTAATTATACAGCATTTTTATATCCAATATATCCAGTTGTGGGCTGTGTGGTAGACCTTACACAGCTATAAACTGTGTGTGATTGTTGTGACAGTATATTGAACCAAAGGACACTCACACAGCACCAGGAAGTACAAAAGGCAAATTCTGTTTTCACTAAAACCACAAATTAACATATTACCTTTTGATAGCTATTCTGATATGTAGTTTACTTCATGATCAAAATTGCTGTTAGATGCTACCTGAAAGTATTAGAAAAGAAAAACGGGCTGTAATGATAGATATCCATGTTTCTGCTGCCAGTCATAGCTGCTTTGATCACAAAGCGTGCATTTAAATTTGTACCATGTGGTGATTAAAGGGTCTGAAATGCCCTGAATTTAGCACAGAGTTTTTATTTCTGATTGGGAAGTGAAATGTCTGTTTGCTTCCTGTAAATATGCAGCCCTTGCAAAGAGACACTGAAGGGTGAACAGGAAGTAAAACAGGAAGATAGAGTTGGTGGTTTAATAATCTCCCCTCTAACCTCAGCCGTCACTTTGCTTTTAAAGCAACAGGATTCTGAAAAAGCTTCCCTCCACCTGCAGCTCATTGCTCTCTGTCAGAGTTATTGGCCACTGTTAAAGCTTTGATGTTCAAAATGGGTTTGCCTGGTGTCTATTGGCTCTCCTTGGAGCATTGAGATTGCATCTGTAACTGTCAAATGTGTTGAAGAATTGGTAATCTCATTTCTTCCTGTCGTTAATAAACCAGAACCAGTTTTAAGGAGGATAATTTGTGTCTTCCTCTTTAGGTTAAACATTGAAAGTCTGACTGTTCTGGAAGGGGATCTAGTTTGTGCAGTTTTGTCATCATGTCTCTGTCAGACTGAAGGAAGGGTCATTGCAGAAATAGCACCTCCCGCAGCGAGCCATTGACTTCCTCATTCACAGCCTTCCTAATGGAGACTTGCTGGTAGTAGCTTGAGCCACTGAGCCACAACCAGGGATGTTATACAGGAGTTTCCCAGGGAGCCGTGGCTTCTCACTGAGATGGAAAGGTTGGCTGGAGGTAGGCTAACACAGTGCTCTGGTTTCCCAGTTGAATTGTAGTGAAAGAGACTGTCACAATATCATGTTAAAAGGGGCTGGTGTTTTCCTCTGGGCTGATGTCTTTTTCCAGTGAAGTCATTGCCCGTTAACAGTGTGTTTTACTGGAATGTCTTTTTGTTTAAATCTCTGGTTTAGATGTCACTAGTGATTACTTATCCTGTTGTGTATGCTTGCAGCCAAAACAAAGAGTACAGAGAATCATCTTTTTCAAATGCGTTGAACTGCTGGCGTTTTCTTGTTTTTTTTTTTTTTTTTTGCCGGGCATCAATAGGCGTGATATCAAACAAGCATTCTTGCTGCCATGAAGAATACTTTTTCAGGCCGTTTATTGTGGTTTAGTGCTGGTTAGACAGTTGTTGCAGGAAGTGAGAATGAAAGCTGTGTGTTGTACTGGCTCTGAAACATAGCGTGGGCCAGTCAGGCTTTTGGTATCTTGAAATGGCTGAGCCAAATGAGCTCTAGTATGTCAGAGCTTTGTGGTCCCTTCAAACCAAGAGGCCCAGGGCTGGTCATTAAAATGAGCTGGAAAACTGCATTTTCCCATTTCCTCTGGGTTTGGGTGGAGGCTCTGTGATGTAAATCCAAGAGAATGAGAGCTCTGTTCTTCTCTGCATCACTTTATGGGATTGTGATTCAGCTCAGTGTCCAGAGATGACCAGCTGCTGAGGACGATCTCATCCATTAATGCAGAGGCAGCAGAAAGCCCACACTGTTATGGAAAGGTCATAGAAGTGATTCCCAGACAGTGTGTCTCCGTCACCAGTCATGCATCCTGCAGAAATGCCTCATTCTTCATAAGAGATTTTGAATAGTAGTATTCGAGTGTCTTGAGAAACCAAACGAATACGTAATATGAAAATATGCTGCCCTTTTGGGATAAATGGTCATTGAAGATCTCCACCTCTGAGTCTTCTGTCTCACCTCAGAAAAAAGGATTCAAAGTGTCTGAATTTTATTTTAAAGAGTTCCTTAATGAGACAATTTGTTGTCAGGATAAATAATGCATCACTTAATATGCAAACCCTCCTGCTGCGTCCTACATCCGAGTAATAATGTTGCTCTGCAGGGTTCAGATTGGAATTTAACAGAAGCGACTGGCCCAGTGTCAGTGTCTGGTATGTTAGTGGATGCTACACGTCACCACGCTTCACTTCGAAACTTCTAATTGGATGGCAAAGTTGAAGCAATTAGCGAAGTTCAAGGTTGGGTTGTCTTCTTAACTAATTAATTTCCATTTGTGCAGGAAAAGGAGCGAGACAAACGGGAGAAGGACAAGGAGGGCAAGGAGAAGGACAAGAAGATTGTGAACGGTCATGTTTTTACACCAGTCAGCTCAAACCACACCACCCAGTGCTCCCAGTGCAATAAAGGTTTTAATGGCAAGGATGCGTTCCATTGCACATGTAAGTAACTTTGTTTTTTTTCCTTTTTGTCTTGTTGGTTTTCTGCAGAGTTGCTGTAGCTTTAAATTATATTAAATCCTAATAACCTTTAATTATTTTATTAGAAGATTTTAATTTCTTATCTGAAAGCACACTAAGCTGCAAGTCGTTTCTGAAAGACGATGCTGAACATAAGGAGAGGAAATGAAAAGATTTCACCAATAAATCCAGGAATATGCATGTTTGAATATGTTAGTTTATGTTTCTTCTCGTCTTTGTCTCTCAACAACCATTCATCCGATCCACTTCACACTTGCTATGTGTGTTACTGAGAACCTAAGTAAGAGCGGTGCTGAGTCTAAAGTTGTTTTGATTAGCAGTTCTCATTGTTTGGCTAAAAGCACAGACTGTATGTAAATGATGGACCACACGTCTATGAAATTACCCAGTAGTCTCTGGATTATGAATTTTGAGGCTTCATAGTTGGTACACACTTGTTTTAAAAAGCCTGAGGTGACCATATTAGGATTAAAAGAGTCAAGTTGTCAGCTAACGCTAGCTATCTCGGTTAGCAAGCTGCATTCCCAAACAAACAGGCACAAATGGCTGCTAAGTTGGTGCTGAGGAGCAGAATTATACAGTGTAGAATTTCTCCTGCCAAAAATGTAGCACAGACTTCTTTGACGGCTGTACCACAAAGCAGGCCGTGTTATTTGTCAGATAATTTTGTTAAGAACTGGCCTAGCAGACAGCTGCCAGCCAAAGCTGTACATGTCAGCGCACCTGTCAATTAAACCAACTTAATATATCAACTTGCCAATTTAAATTAGTTAATTTGAAAAATAAAATAAGGTGTTCACTTTGTAGCTGAAGTTGGGCATTTTAAAATGAGAGTCTGTGTGGAGTGATTCTCGTTTAGCGGTAGCATCTGGGGTTGCTGCTTGGCTAAAAGTTGTTTTGTGTTACCAGCGTTGTGCCCCTCAGCTGAATTCTACTGATATATTTCAGCTATAAGTTACATTAATTCAAGCTATTTGGTAATAAAAAAAGGTAAACACCTGTATCACTGCTAAGTTAATGCAATGCAAGCTCAATTTAATTATTTGGTTAACAGTAGTTTAGTGTTTTTATAGCAATCATGGTGACCGGCATGACTGAAGTTGACAGTGAGCAAATGGTTAAGAGGTTATTTGGCACCTTTTGCAGGTAGTTCTAAAGCAGGACCCTGGTTGAAATTTTTAAAACAAACATAAATGTATGGAGGATATTCTTGGTGGACTACAGCCTGCCTTATGTGTGATGGGACATGACACACATTTGTATAGCAAGAAAATAGTGTTTCTACGTCAGTTAAATGACACCTTTAGCAGTGACACAGACGCGTGTTCAGTCATTGTTTTCAGAGCAGTAAAGCTATGTTTATATCTGTTAACTTTCACAACAACTGATTTCCTGCATGTGATGCATTTAGGTAATATCTCTAAATCATAGCTCATGAACAGGAACTGCATGAGTAGCAGAGGAGTCAGACCCTACAGTAGGTCAAGTCAGTTTACTGTAAAGGCTCTGTGTTTACATTTAGGCACTAAATGAAAAGATTTAATTTAAAGAAAAAGTAAATTAGAATTTCTTTATTTGATTATAAAGGACAGTGCAAGAAAACATGAAACACCAACTGAACTTTATATTAGCAGTTAGTTGTGCAGCTGCACCGAAACTCCCCAAAGAGCTACTTCTAATGCAACCCAGTCAGACTTTGATTACAGACAACAGAACTGGTTTTTTGCATTGTTTTTTACTGGAGCGGCAGAGGCAGCCCTAAAGAGGTTCTAGTTTATTGCACAAGTCTTTGGCGCAAGCCCAGAAAAAGCCTAAAAAGGAGAAACAAGCTCTGCGATGGATCACAGCAGACCTCTTGGCCACAATCTGCCTCAGATGCTTCAGACTGGCAAAAACAGCCCCTGTTGTATTCAGTCAGTCTGGTTCACATTGTTAGAGCCACAGACAGTGAGGGAGGTTTGTACTCTGGCTAGTGTCCATTCAGCAGAGGAATACAGTGATCCTTTGTCTCAGATTAGCTGGTCTTATTTGAATGTCACCAAAAAGCAGTAAAAAACCTAATAAAATCCAGAGGCATGTAAAAAGAAAAATATCACTGCAGGAAATCAAGGTGCTTTGATAATCATGCAATCTTCTACTTGCTAATATTTTTACAGTGAGACATTTTCAGGCGATAGCTCCCTGCCCTGACAGTGTTGCTGCCTTTCTGACTCGTGCAGCGCTATTTTCTCACCCAGACTAAAAGCGGCTGTTGAAGTAATCCCAGGAACGGAAATGTTGCACTGTATGCATTCTAGCTTGGGTGACTAGGTCTGATAGTGCGTTTGTGGGTTTCACATGTGTGTTGAGTGGACTTCTGTCTCCTGGAAATATGCCCGTATGATTAAATCCTGATCAGCCACCATTTTTTTCCCTCCTTGATGTGAGCATTAAAAATAAAGAGCGAATATTAGGAAAAACTGAGAATTTGAGTTTAGTGGACAGATCAGCCTGTAGAAGAGGTCAAATGTCAGCAATCTAAAACCATGACTTTGTTCTTAAATGGTGATTCGAGAATGTTTACATGATTTAAATTTTCCCATGCAATTCGGTGGTGACGTGCGTGTGTGTCATATCTGTTTTTTTTCCCCCCATCGTCCACGAGCAGCATTACCCCTCGATTGCATCACATGCTTTGCTCCAGTCTGGCTTTCATTAGCAGGCTGGTGGAGTTTCCTGGCCGGCTATGAAAAACCAGTCAGATTTTCTAGCCCCCACTTTTCCGCACACCCTCACATGCCCCACCACCACCACCATCAGGCTAACAGTATTCACTCCTTCTTTTCTTTCCAGACTGCAATGCTTCCGTCCACAAGGGCTGCAGAGACAGCCTGGCTGTTTGTGCCAAGGTGAAGATGAAGGTACAGCTTCCTCGCAGTTACTCCTCCACCGATTCTGTAGTACTCTGCTGTCCCGAAGCCAATATCGATTTTCTTTTCATTTATGCTTTTTCTCACCGTTTCTCTGCTTAGTTGCCCAACCAGCAGTTTGCGGTACCAGATTCGAGCTTGTTTCCTACAGTAACGATGAGGAACAAACGTGAGTGTGAAACCAGCTCAAGATTGCCTACACAGTTGTCACAGCCTGTAATTATTTGCAGATTTATCGCCAAACTTCTCTGATCCCCTAATAAGAGGAGATTGAAGGGTTTTTGTGCACATTTATTTTGTTCTGATAATTACTTACACTAAAGTTGGCAAAAAGTGAATCTTTTATCTACACACCGTGACAGAGTGCTTCTTTGGGGTTGTTCTTAGGACCAGAGCTCAAAGTGTTGCTCCTAGAATATTCAGCCACACTCACACACACACATACACATAAATATGATTTAAACAGATTTAAACTGTTAAATTAGTCAAAGGACAAAACTTTTTTTCCTTTGAATAGAGAAGCTTTGTGCTGTCCGCTTGCTCTGAAGTCTCCTAATAAATTATGTCTAAGAAGGTAGACAGTCTGTGAGGAGAGAAAAAGATGGACTGTATTTGCCAAAATACAGTCTTAAAACCATTGCTTTTACCTGTCAGTGATTTAGCTTTTTAAATTTAGCATTTGGAAGCAATGACTTGTCATGAAACCGAGGTTTCTAACTATACCAGAGGCCCCAAAAAGTCAGGATAAGTTAGGATCTCCTGCTGGTTTTGAAAAGTGTTCAGATTATTGTTGTAATCTAAGTTTGCTCTGGTCCAGCTGGTGGGACAAAGGAACGCCCCTGGTCGGCCATCTTGCCCCCTGAGGACCATTCCACCTTAATGATCCCATCACGGAGACACACCAACATCATGACTTTCACAGGAAACAACCTCTCCAAGAGTCTCTCAATAAGCAACATTGCTGGGTGAGCTGATCTGTGTGTGTGTTGGAGTGAAATGTTTCTGTACTTAATCTAATTTCATTTTTAATAGTTTAGTTTTTAATGCATTATTTGACCCCTGTACAATGTGTTTAAACAGATACACATAACTGTGTATGGCCTGTTACAAAGACAACATTAATAACGTGAATTTTATTATCGTGTCTCCATTCAGTCCGGTGTTTGACGAGATGCCCATTAAAGGTCTGCGGTATCTCTCTCAGTCCACCGACTCGCTCAACAGAACTAACCAGGTCACAGAATCCATGGAATCACTTACTGATGAAGGTTAATAAAGGCACACACACACAAATTCATTTTCCACATTTTTTAATTTAAGCTAGTTTAATGTGAAAAAAATAATTACTTTTTTAAAAATAAATAAATGATTAATGCATATACAGCACCGAACAGAAACTTAATGTGGTTTATCCAAACCTCTCACCTGTAGATTATCGTATAAATGGAAGTTAGTTTTATTAATTCAGGCTGTGTTGTTGACTCAGGAACAGAAATGATGGATGGGCAGCTGATGGGGGAGTTTGAGGCCGAGGCCAAAGAGCTGGAAGCAGACTCGTGGAGTTTAGGTGTGGATCAGCAATACCTGCAGCAGCTGGACAAAGAGCTGGTGAAGAGACAAGATGTCATCTACGGTAATCACCACATATAATACTCCCTGCAGTAACTTTGATTAAACATAATTTAATCTGAAGATGGTTACTGGCAAAGCAAGGAAAGGTAATAGTTTCTTAAATGGAGTAGCAACATTTTTAATCAAGCTCATTCTTGGCCTGGTTTCCTACATTTCTGTGTGTCAGCTAGTAAGGAAGCATCTAGTAAAAGTGGACCAATGTTATTTAAAGCAGACAAAAACTCGAGAAAGGAGGTAACGCCTTTATGCCCAGGATTAACAGTGTTAGATAAAATAAAAATGTCACTGCTGTTTCATCTGTGTCATTGTTATTTTCATGCCTGTTGTACTTTGTTTAAGGGTGAACCTACAGTATTTTAATTGGGCCCCACTTAAGGACTTTCTCCTGAATTTTCTTCAGTTGTATCTACCAGGCTCTGTGATCTAATATGGCTTTTTTTTACCTGATTGAAATGTTCACTGAGATACTCTTAATGCGCCTGAGCTGATTTGAATCTATTTGTAGTCAAATTTTCTTCGTATTCCTTTTACGCGAGCTATGCAGTGACCCCTACCACTGCAGTTGCAGATCAGTTGCAAAGTTATGAACTCTATAAAACTCTGTGCACCTCTGATACGGGGAGGGTATAGATGTATTTGAATAGCAGGTGGTGTATGCTGGTGGCTGTCATTTCAGCTTATTGTGCACCTCCAATTTTCTTTTGGGTACCTGCTGGAGGCATGAGTCTCTGCGGGCATCTTATGATACATGAGTGCAGGGATTCCCAGATGGCACAGATTGCTGCAGCAGTTTGAAAATATGAGAAAGTCTGCAGAAAACTTTGGAAAAACCTCCATAACCACTTTGTTAGCGACTACTTCTTTTCCTGTTCCACCAGTGAAGCTGTTCTCTTTCTGAGCTGTGAAACCTGTTATTTAGGAGAATCATGCAGGGAATCACATACAAGTGGAAATGGCGATGGTGCTGATGTTATATGTCAGTGACTATAACGGAGGCTTAAGTGTCATTTCCCTTCATGTCCTGCAGAACTGATGCAGACAGAGATGCATCACGTTCGGACGCTGCGCATCATGTCAGAAGTGTACAGCAAAGGCCTGCAGAAGGAGGTTCAGCTGGAGCAGCAGATGTTGGAGAAGCTCTTCCCCGTTCTAGATGATCTACTTGAGCTCCACACACAGCACCTCCTGCGCCTCCTGGAGAGGAAAAAGGAGAGCCAGTTAGAGGGAAGAGTCTTTGAAGGAGGCTTCATCATCAGCAGGATAGGGGACATCCTGGGTAGCCAGGTGAGAGGGGGCAGGGGCTGGTTCAAAATTCATTTCTATTCTTTACAGCTGATTTAACACAAGCTGGTTTTACAGAAAACCTAAAAGGTAACATGACTGTTTATTTTACAGAAACGTGAGCTTTTTCTGAAAGGTTATCGACAGAATGCATGTGTGTTCATGGCTGTTATGAAAGGCCTAATGTTGGTTTTTTTTGTTCTCGTCTAAGCTTACACCTCCAAAGTAAATTTACACAATCTCTGAGTCAAATATTGCTCCCACAAATCCCAAACATTTGTCTCAACTCACGTTTGAAGTTCTGAAGCTTTGAAAATAATGTTAGCTTTTTAACCTTTATTTATTTCTGCTCTACCAACATTAGTTTTTGTGTGCTTACATCTGTCAACTCCTTCTCTAGTTTTCGGGATCAAATGGTGAAAGCATGAAGAGGGTTTACGGAAGATTCTGCAGTCGCCACAACGAAGCTGTTAACTTCCACAAGGACCTTCTAACCAAAGACAAACGCTTCAAAGCGTTCATCAAAGTAAGCGTCAGGCTTCTCTCGTGGATTTATCAAGTGTCTGTCACACAGCAGACGAACTTTCCGGAGAAGTCTCTTTTCATGCTTTTTGATGAAAACACATTTTTCTTCAGGATGTCTGGCTTTCCAGACACGATTGTGTTTGTTGAATAGAGTTCTGACATTGTTTTCTCTTGTATGGAAGTGCTTGAAGTAGCGTTGAACAAAGAGCTTGTTCTTATTCTGTGTTGCTTTCCTTTTAGTTGTATTATTTTGCATCTGCAGTTCATTTCAATCAGGGCATGTGCCGGAGACATTTGAATAAAAGCTGTATTACCCTCGAGGCAGTTTATTTTTATTATAGAAACGCCAGTGCTCGCCGTCATAAACAATAACAATAAACACCCTCTCAAGTACTACTGCTGTATTGTTCTACGCCAAATGAGTTTTGCAGCTTCTCGCTGGTTATGTGAGACCCTGCCACCTGTTGTGTGTGGGCATGTTTTACTAAAAGCACCTCTTGTTTATTCTTTCAGAAAAAGATGAGTAGCAGCATTGTGCGGAGGCTTGGCATCCCAGAATGCATCCTTCTTGTGACCCAGAGGATAACGAAGTACCCCGTGCTGATTCAGAGACTGCTGCAGCACACTAAAGGTTATTTTCATGTTGGCCTTTTTTCACTGTTTTTACTTTGTCTATAAAACTGGTAGAAACAAAAGCACGAACTTGGTTCTAATTTTTCAGATGCTGGATTACTACAGGTTGCTGCTGCAGGCTAAATATACTGAATTTCTTATTAATCGATATATTTATTACACATTTTCAATAAACTAACAAGCAAAGCAACTTCAAGAAACTAACAAAGACAAAACAACCAGAAGGTTTCCTAATCGAGTATCACTTTGTAAGTTTGTTGATAGCAAACATTCCAGGTTGCAGTTGCCCGAATAAGGCCCTAATACCACCAAAATATGCAAATTCTCATGACCATTGATCAACAACCACTGATCAAAGGAGGCCATTTTCGTGAAAAGGGAAAGACATGTCTGAATCGAGGAGGGGGCCTAAGGGTACATCTGTCACCATCTCACAATGCTGTGATTGCAGCCTTCCCCAACTCTCTGTGAATGGTACTCATGGCCATGGCCTGTTGATCAATGGTCATGAGAATTTGCATGTTAATGATCAAGGAACTGGCCTCCCAGCCCATTGTTCCTTCAGTGGGCTGGTTTCAGTCATTATGCAAATGTACTGTTCATAAGATTGGGGAATCGTGCAGTCAGGTCACTTGGATAAGTGACGAAATGTTTCTTCCACTGACGTTACGTCCAGATGAACAGAATCAACTTCTGGGGATTTACTTACCTGCATGATTGAGTATGCATCAAGGCCCTAATGTATTTACTACCCTTAAATATGTTAATGGTAGCTGCTTCAGTCGGTTGACCTGGTTATTTCCATTGTCGCTTATAAAGTCTGTGGTCTGGTCACCGCGTTCCTACAAGTTTACTTCCTATGTGGATGCTGCTTAAATCTTAATTCTAAATTTCACTAAGTTTCACTTAGTGCAGAAAAAAATGTGTGAATTTAAAGTTGGAGATTTAAGCAATATAATTAAGTCATTTTTCCCATTTCAGTTTTGGCTTTTTTAATTTTAGAACTTTTCACAAACCAAATACAATATTTTCTTTACATCATTCTCTATGATTTATATATTTATTTAGAGAGTTTATCTACAGTAATATTTATCACATCACCTTTATCCTGAGAATAGAAAATAAACTCCTGGAGTACCTCATTATTAATATTTTTCCTGACAGCATTCGGCTCCGCTCGTACACTGAAAAGCCGCCCACAGCAGTGTGCCGTTTGTTTTAGGAAACATCCTGAAAAGTACAATTTCTCGCACACAGTTTCATATATTTTGAGAAAAATGAGACATGTGCTGGATGGATGTTTATAGGATAATAGATCAAGCACACTTTGAGGAGCTGGAATATTTCACACCATATTTATATCTGATTTAAAGCAGCTCTCATCAGCTGGCCTCCCACTGTGTGCATTCTCTCTAATCCCTCCCCAAAGCCTGTTTATAGTTCTATGTGGGATGGGGGAGCTCTGCCTTAATCCCCAAGGTGCTTTAAGAAGAGTCTCTCCTGCCAACTCTGATATGTACTGAGAGGAAATAACACAGTAGAGTCACAGTTTGAGATTATATTTTCTTGCTTTGGAGCACAGACATACAACGCAGGAGGAAAATATTCCACTTTAGGGAAGGATGTTGCATGCTGAGCCTAAAACTCAAGAGTGTTATATAGAGTACAACAAGTGTGCATTCGGGACAGTTTGACTGGGGTTTTCCTCACTTTGCAGACTTAAAGGACACTCGTGACTTTGCTGTAATCCTTAGAGTACCCCAGCGGAGACTCCATGTTTCCTGACTCATGGCAGACCCTGATATTTTACTCCTTTGTTGTTATACTTTAAAAAACAAAATCCCAGTACTTTTCTATAAATAAATGTTAAGCTTGAGTCACTTGACAGTGACTCAGCCGCTGTCAAGTTAATCAAGGCTTTTATGTGCGCACTTTATTTAGATAACCAGATGGCTTTTGCAGCTACGCTGATTAAAAATGTATTTCATTAGAAATAATTCCATCCTCGTTCTCTTTCCTGCTGAGCATAAGCTGAAACTGATATGTATTGGGTGTGTGTCCACTGCATGAGTCTATCGCCAGCAGCTAGTTAGCAGATAATGCAAAGGAAGCGGTATCAGTCTTCTTGTCCAGTTTGCTGCAAAGAAAATAAGTTAAATATTTGGATTTGTAGAGTAAGGAGCATCGGAGCATTTTGTAAAAGAGAAAATGTAATATACACATACAGTGGGTGCTCTTATGGCTTGAGTCCCCTTAGAGTAGAGGGTCTAATTCAGCCCACAGGTTGGCTTTGCGAAGTCATCAATTACTACGGTTTGTGATTTGTGGTGTGCACATGAAGGCATAAGTACAGGGGAATGAAAAAGTCTAGATAGCTAAAAAGTTTTTCTAGGTCTAAACAAGTTATTCTGTCTGTCCGTCCTTCCATCCAACCATTTTCTTCCACATCAGGGGTGACGGACAACCATTCGCATTCACATTCACACCTATGGCCAATTCAGACTCACCAGTTACCGTAACTCCATGTGTTTGGACTGTGGAAGGAAGCCAAGTATGTGGAAAAACCCACATGGGGAGAACATGCAAAAACCATACAGAACGACATATTTATTTTAATCATCGAGTAAAACACTATTGTTTCTTAATCACAAATATCTGTACATTTTGTGCTTTTCAGGCACGATCTCTAAATTGTTCTGCAGCGTTCTCCAAAATTATCAAAACATCAAACGGCTTTAACATCTTAAATGATGTTAAAGCTACACTGAAGGTATTCTGGCTCCAAGTATTGCTCGAACATCTTACTAAGAAACTTAATGATCATTTTAATTTGCTATATACATACTGTAAATGAAGGTTTTTCATTAGACATGTACAAGAATTAAAAACAAACTAGAAAAATTTGCATTTCCTGGGAAAATGCTGTGTGGATGCCTTAACGCTGAAGATGTCTGCTGAAAAAAGCTGAAAAAGTTGAAAAAACGTTGCCCTGAGCAGGATTCGAACCTGGCACTTCTGGTCTCAAGGCGGCTACTCATCTCACAGAGCCAAACTCATTCTCACAAAGAAGAGGTGGAGAGACTGACAATTCTGCTGAAATGAGCAGAAGCTGCTGAGAATTGTGCTGATGGGAGGTGAAAAGGCTAAAAATTTTGCAGAAAAGGGGTGAATCAGCAGAATTTCTGCTGAAAAGAGGTAAAGAAGCAAAAAGTTTCGCTGAAAAGAGATGAATCAGCAGAATTTCTGCTCAAGAGTTTTTTCTGAAAACAGCTGAGATTTGTGCTGATAAGAGGTGAAAATTCTGCTGAAAAGAGTTCAATCAGCAGAATTTCTGCTGAAAAGAGGTTTTTGCTGAAAACAGCTGAAAAAGCTGGTATTTGTGCTGAAAAGTGGTGAAAAAACTGAAATTTGTGTTGAAAAGAGTTAAAAAAGTTTAACTGTTAACTGAAAGAAATGTTGCTATAAGCGGGATTTGAACCCGGGCCTCCCAGTCTGAGAACGGATGCTCATCTCACTGAGCTAAAACACAGGTCAACCCGGCAAGGAAAACCAGTGAGGCCACTGATAATATGCAGAAATGGGCAAAAAATATTGCAAAAAAAATTTCAATATCTCAAAAAGTATAGAAGTTATGAGCACCAAAAGTCAAAGCCCGCATTAGCAGAAAGAGCAGAATTTTTTAAGATTTGAACGGTGAAAATAACACAAAAACTGTGGGAGTAGTTAAGCGCCAAAAAGTGTACGGAAGCAACTAGAGGGCATCCACACAATTATAAGATGTCTTAGATGTCTCTATAATAATATGTGTGACTCACTGTGACCAGCTAATACCATAAAAAAGCTTTCAGTACTCTCTTCCAGTGAGTGTAAATGCAGCCACGGTTAAAATACTGAAATGAGAAGTAAAATGTCACTTCATCGTCTGCCGCACTTAAACGCCACCTGTCTGAGCCGTTCAGGGTTAAGTGTGTTAGATTGGAGTCATTAAACTACCAAATGTAACGGTGCTCCATTTTTGCTTCAGCTGGTTTAAAATCACATTCCTATGGTAATCTCTTGTAGAATAAATTTTCTAAAATCTTGTCACACGTCTAACACAGAGAGCGACGAAGACTACTTTGACCTGACGGAGGCTATTCGACTCGTGAAGGAGGTGATAGCGGCGGTTGATAGCAAGGTGAACGAACACGAGAAAAGACGGCGCCTGAAGGAATTTCACGGCCGTATGGACAACAAGTCGATTATGATGATGAAGAACGGGCAAATTTTCGCCAGGGAGGATCTGCTTAGGAGGCGGCTGATCCACGATGGAGCGCTACAGCTGAAAAACACCCAGGGAAGATTAAAGGGTGAGGAGTTGGGGATGGGAAATTTGTTAGTCTTTTTAGGGTCTAACATTTCGATGTATTTAAACTAATCCAACAACAACTGATTTTCTTCTGGTCGTCTTCCAGAGGTTCATGCTCTGCTCCTATCAGACGTCTTCGTCTTCCTCCAAGAGAAAGACCAGAAATATGTCTTTGCCATGCTGGTAGGTCATCTCTTTCCCTCTCCTTTGCCCTACAGTTATGAAGAACTCATGAGTGCTGCCAGAGATGATGCTGTCATATTTTCCTCTCCCACTGTTGTTGCTGTTAGCAGGAGCTGCCCTTCTTAGCTATCCCATTGTGAAATAATGCCTGCCTCTTGCTAGCACGTTAGCTGCACCTAATAAAGCTTATCTGGCCCTGGGCTCCTTAACCCAGCTGTGATAAATCATATAGGTTTGAGTTGTTTTTTCCATGTTTACAGGACTCACAGCTTCATGGCATGCCACACTCTCTCTCCCTCTCTCACACTCGCAGGAATGGAAACAGAGGCAGGCTGGTGGCTTAATAATCACATCCATCAGTAAAAAAGAAAAAAAAGCCTGCAATGTTTGAGTTGGAGCTGTTGACATTAGAAAGGGGAATAACATGTGGTTTGAAATGGATGGCAGCCATGTGGAGAGGGTTTGTTTTTGAGAGTATAGGCATCAGTTCTGTGGATCAACAAGAGTACATGCAGCTACTGTAGCAGGTCGTAGATCATCACCATCTTTACAGGAACACAGACCTGTAGAGCTAAAAGAGAATGGATGATAGTAAATAAACAAAAAGACGAGGAGAATCTAAATGTTTTCAGCTGAAACATTTGGAGCTTTATTACCAAACCTGCATATTATAGATTTGGCTCCATATTTTTGTGTTACATATATTCAAACTGCTGTTACTTAGTAACAGTGATTAAGACAGGGGAGTATTGCCTTGCCTCTGTCAAAGGCCTGAACAACTCAAAGCTGAGAGGTTTGACAAAAGCATAAAACAAGAAGGAAAAGCAAAAGATCTTTCGTCATATTTGCTTTAACTGTACAGCACAACCTTCCGCTGTGACAATGGCTCCAAAATTTAAACCTGTAATGCTTTTACTTCATTACTCTGGGGCTGGCCTCAAAGATGCTCTCTTCTGTCCGTGGCTCCATATCTTTGCTGGAATGACGATTCAAACATCAAAATGACAGCAGAAATGATCGACTTTGAAAGCAGAAATTGTCTCTTAGGAAATTGTTACACACTCAGTAAATACACCTCAGCTTTCTATTTTGTTGCATTCAGTGCTCTTAGCTTGCTGGCGCACAGATGTGGTGGCCATGCTCTATTCTATCTAGTGTGATGTGTGCATCATCACCACAGCTTGAAGCTGGAAGCCCAAAAATAAACAAAGCTAAAGTGCTTTTTTCTCATGGGTTGATGGGAAAAAAAGTTACATAAACTGCACAGGAATGGTTGCCATTGTAGTTCAAACTCACATGTAATTGGACAAATTAGCAGCATGTTAAACACTTTCAGTCAGTGACTCCCTAAAGCTTGGAACCAATGATCATCACACAGAAAAGACTTCCTCTGAAATATTTTTCCTGGTCTCTGTCTTGTCTTCAGTTGGGTTTTTGTTTTTGTGTTTTTGGAGTCCTTCTGCTTGGTTGCTTTCCTTTGCTATGGAAAGGATCCTGTGCTCATCCACTACTGCTCTTTTCTGTGGACATCAAGGCCTTTTTATGTAGCTGTGTGTTCTTTTTTTTCCCATCCACACGTAACAAAGCTCTTGATCTGGTCTCTTGTAATGTTCCCCCTCTTTCTCTCTGTGATGCGTTAGTTTTGCTTTTGCAGCTTAAAGATAGTATTGCGAGCTCTTCTGGGTTGCATGTTGTGGGATTTCTGAATGCAAATGCCACATCTAAATCTCCAGACCTTTTATCGGTTTAACTGACAAAGAAGTGTCTGAGAAATAGCCCACATAAGTTCCTGCAGACTGACGGCTGTTGATAAAGGCTGCAGTTAGCAGTTATTGCAGTATTTTTGGTGAAAGTATCCAATTAAAGGTGACTATTTGCATTTATGTTTAGGTGACTGATGTAGGAATGCATAGTTCCCCCCCTCTTCATGTTGAATGTGGAGTATTTTTAGTGCAAACTCAATCTTTCTGTTCCACTTGTTGTGCTGCATCAACAACATTTTTTCCCCTCTAAAATACTTGATTTGGTTTAAACTGTAGAACGTGTGCTGTGGATTTTCTTCCTATTGTTTACAATGTAGTCACACCAGGAAGACAAACACACAGGAAAAAAACACAACCTATTCTTTAAACCTCAGACAAGTGGTTGGAGAAAAAATGTAGGGATGTGGTTACAGCTTTGGAGTTTTACTAGTTTGAAAAGAAATGATGGAGTGGTTTGTGGTGTACTAAAATGTGCTTTACAGTGTTGGCACTCTTAAGAATGCAAGGTTAGCAGAGGCTCTGTGAATCAGCCGACAGCCATGATAATCATAAAATTAGCCAGAATGTCAATTTGGCTTCTTCTTTTCTCTTTATTCCATATTTTTTCATTCTCCCCTTTGTGTCTGTAATCCCTATCCATCCCCTTTGTCTTTGTTTCTCTTACGCTTTTCTCCTGTAATTATCCTTTTTCCTCCTCTGCTTTAGCCCACCCTTCTTCCTGCCTTTTCCATCCTCTTCCCTGATCCTCACCATTTGTTTTCCCTCCACCCCCTTTCCTCCCTCCTGGCCCTCCCCTTATCATCTCTCCTCTCTCTTTTTTTTCCTTCTCTTTTTTCATTCTCCTCCCATGTTGCCTCTCTCCCTGCAGGATCAGCGCTCCACCGTGATCTCCCTCCAGAAGCTGATTGTCAGGGAGGTCGCTAACGAAGAGCGCGGCCTCTTCCTCATCACGGCAGGCATAGAGAAGCCGGAGATGATGGAGGTCCTGGCCAGCTCGAAAGACGAACGCAACACCTGGATGCAGCTCATCCAGGAAGCCATGCAGTCTATGTGAGTAGAATTCATGTCAGTGTTTTTATTTTAAAACATATGAAGACTAAATATATTACTGTACTTGACACACAATTATTTTTGCATCTTGTAATCTACATGTAAGAGCAAGCTTAGACCCCGATCTTTTCTGGTTTACCATAACCTGCAACCTCTTCCGCAGAAGAAACTCCACTGTGCTTTACATTAAGGGCTCTGTCTCTCAGAGTTCATCACCCGTCCATCTGTGATGTAAACCACGAGTTAGACCAAGCCCAGTTCTGTGGACAGAGCACTGTGCTGTCAGGAGGAGTAGCACTACTCTACCTGGGGATAGGATGTACTCAGGGACAGTCTAATGCTGGTTTGGCTTCAAGGACAGCTCACTATAAGCAGAGGATTATTTGAATGCAGCCAGTGGGAAGGAGAGAGATTAGGCACTCTGTCTCCTTCGCAGTCTGACTTCTGCCAAAACACAAATGGAGATCATGCTATTGGCAGAAATGAATTTTTTTTTTTTTAAAGGCTATGGCTTCTGTTTTTTTTTCTCTTGAACTAAAAACACCATGTGTTCATGTGCTTCAAACTTTTGGGACACTTGTCTGTTGTCCTGTGGGATGGAAGCTAATGGTTATTTTCATGACTTGTCTTTTTAAGACGAGAAATCTGTAAAATGTTGCAAATTAATGAAAATGTTTCGGAATACTGTTTTTAAGTTTTTAATTACCAAAACTTTAGTGAATAATTTAACTCCAGTTAATTGATTAAACACTTGTACACTGTAAGTGATGTAGATTTCTGGTTGTTTGTTGGTCTTTAATCCTGTCTAATTTATGGGATGTTGTACATCATCTTTATTTTCTTTATTGGACAGGGACAAGGATGAGGATGAAGGGATTCCCAGTGAGACAGAAGATGACAAGAGACAGCTAGAGACTAAAGCAAAGGAAATGAGAGGTGAGAGAAATCTATTAAATTTGTTTGTATGATAGCAAGCACACACACACATTTGCCTGAGATTTCTCACTGTTTGTCTTTGTGTCTTCCTGTCTGTCTGTCTCTGCTGGTCAGAACTGTTGAGGCAAAAGGATACAGAAATCATGTCTCTGCTGGAGGAGAAGGTGCGGCTTTTCAGAGGGATGTGGGAGGGCGTGAGCCCAGGCGAGGAGGCCTGTCGGCAGGTCCAACCTTTCTTCAGGTCACCCTGCAGCCTGGAGCCGCCTGGGGGGGCGTCCATCATGAAAGATGCCCTGCAGGAAGGTAAGAAAGACGGGTTTCTAAGATGTGTGCTGTGGATGCGTCATTCATTGAATATACTGAGAAATAAATTTGAATGAACGAAAAAAAACACAGTGAGAGGCTTGTATACTAACATTGTTACACATTGTTAGTATGTGGCATGTGTCATTGCTGCTTTATGAACATAAAGTACATCTTACACATGTTATCCTGTTTACGTTTTTAAATTTTATCATCTAGGCAAACTTAAAAGATTATAAGAAAGGTATGTAAAAGATTGAGTGGGTAAGTGCGATATCCTGAAGTTGTGTTTTTAAGCCTTAAACGAAGCGTTTTCGGCTCCTCAATCAGGATACCTATGGCCTAATCATGCCCAGCCCTTCATTGTCTGTTTTACTTTAAATGATACCACAAGTTAGAAAATAAACATCAGATATAAATCAGATTGCAATTACTTGCAAACCTTCAAACCTGTCACAGTGATTGCAGTCGGTCTGAGTCAAATTGTAATTGTGTGGAGACAAGTTGCTTCCCACCAGGCAACCTGAGGGATTAATAAAGTTCTATCTTATCTTATCTTATCTTATCTTACCTGTGATCAAAACTGATCGCATGGTGACTGAGGATGTTGTACACTGCAACTACTTGCAATGAATCTCTGACAGCAAAAACATTCAATTGAATCAATGGGCAACCACTGATTTTTTTTTTTCCTAGTTGGAAGGAGGGTTTCTTCCTATTTTTAACTCTGGTGTGACTGAGCTATTAGCATCCACTGTGGTGGGCGTCTGTCGTCTGTCCTAGACATCGGGCAGACGTGCTTGTCAGATCCCCAAATCACCTCAACTGGCTCCTTTCGATGTGGAAATGTAGCAGCTTTTCTCTGAGCCCCTCGCAAATGACTGATCTCATCAACCCGTCTCTAAGGGACAAGCCACTCTGCCTTCGAAGAAAGCTCATTATCGCTGTTTGTATCCACAGTCTTTCGGTCACTATCCAAAGACCATGACCATAGGTGAGGATAGGGAGGCAGGCGGACCATTTTTTCCCTCTTAGTTTTTGGTCTATTCTCCTTTTAGTGAGGTTTGAGTTCTTAACACCAAAGCGGTCCTAACACTGCATTTGTAAATGACACCTTGAGAATAAAACAGGGTATTATAATATCTCACTGAAGAGAAAGCACTGACTCATTCATATGTATAGCTAATATCAATTATTAAGCAAAACTTGTGTCATGACATGAGGCATAAAGCCATCTGCTAAAAAAGCACCTTATTGTTTTTCATCGATTATTACATATGGACAGTTCTGCCCTCACTTTTCATAAAAAAGTTCTGATAAATTCTTCCCACCACACATTTTTGAGGCTGCAGGTGAAAAGGATACACTTTGGCAACCACATGGAAAAATTCACTGTAAAAAAATGTGAATTTCAGTACTTTTTGTATGTAAGGAGTTTATAAACAATTTGTATGTAAAGAAAACTTGTTTATTCATTTTAATTCTTCTGATGAGAGCCTACCGTGTTATTAATCCCTAAGGAAATGATGTAATTGAGTATGTAATGAGCTCAGTAGTTGGATCCCTTCATAGCCCGAGAGAGAGATTCAAGTGTATAGCAAACATTAAAGGAGTCGGGATGCGTTTTGAGATTTTACTCCAGCGCTTGTTGGTGCTTTGGCAGTGTTGTTCATCAAATGTGTTAGAAGAAAGCGGAGAGGTGAGCTCAGAGCAATTACTGTATCCTGTGTTAAAGGTATTGAAATATATGTATGTATAGCTTTCACTTTACTTATCATTTGCACTGCTTTATTTCAAGTTTATGGGTTTACTTTGGATTTTACATGATGCAGTCTAACAACAACATGCAGGGATTTTGCAGGTGCTGCAAACTCGTGAATTTTAAGATGATGTTTTCAAGGTTTGAAAAGTGCTTGGATTTTGGATTAAGTGCTTGAAACTGTATTTGCATTACTTTAATGGGGAATTGCCGTTTGAATATTAGACAGTTTGCTTTTTAATTTCCCCCAGGGATCAATAAAGTATTCTGATTCTGATTTTAAATAATTGAAAAGAATAAATTGGAGAAAGTTTAATAACGTTTTTTTTCCATGTGTACCCTTTGAGAGATCAGTGGGTTGGAGTTTGTTATTCTAATAAGCATTAGCGTGAAAGCTGTAAATGCAAAAAAGATCAAGATCAGGAGAGTTTTAGCTCCTTCCTACAGTCAAAAATGGAAGCAAATGATTGCATAACCAATAATCAATCACAGTGTTTATTTAAAGAACTTTTAAATAACATTTTAGATATAATTAATGACCAAAATTCTCATGGACATATCCATCTGATGTCTGATATCTATTAGTTGAAATCAGGTAAGACCGCAACACAAATAAAATTTCTAGGATTATCCGCTTCCTATCTTTCCATTTCCGTAGACTAATGAGCGTGCTGGTTGGAAGGCCCTCTCCTTCATCATCTTCAGCATTCCTAACAGTGAACTGCAAACTCAGCAGGCTGTGGGGCCCAAATTAAGCCACCGTGGCCTTAACAGCAGTGCAACTGCATTGTCTGAACTGTAGAGAGGTTACATGAATAGTGTCATTGTGTTCTAAGAATTGGAAGCCAAAATAACTTAAGAGAGTTTGATCTGTTTTAAGGATTTTTACCAGTAAATGTGGATTTAAGACAATTTTGGACTTTTTACGGCCCATTGATGTCCTCTTGTAGCACAGTGACATCAAGCTTTGAGTAATAATGAAGTGAAACATTAATTTTGATTATGTTTGCTGGGAAATCCTTACCGTTCTTAAAATGTAGTTGAATATGACTTGAATATGACAAAATGAAGAGAAAAGCTGAACCTGTTGTTGGTGTGTGTTCTTGTCTGTGAAGGAGCCGAGGAGCTTCGGTGGTCAGAGTGTGACTTGCGTAAGGAAACAGCTCCTTATTATTATTTAGTCCCGCTGCAGGCAAAGAGTGTTCCACAAAAATCTGGAGCTGGTTAAAAATACAAAGGATTTGTTTTAAAGTTTACAGGTTTGGTAAGTTTGTGACAGTTCAAAGAAAAACAGGCTGCAGCTCTAATGGCGGTTGGATGAATGAAGGAAAACTCCTGTAATGATTATAACTTTTCAAACTAGCAGTAAAAGTTTACCTACTCTACAGCACAATGTCTTTTTCACCTCGTCCTTGTAAAGCCTGGAGCAGTAATTGTCCTTATTTGATATGTGAATTGGCAGCAGTAATGTGATTTCTCCTCCTCAGGTTATTGTGTTTTACTGAGAATCTGCCAGACAGGAAAGGTCACAGTGTTGCATCAGTACACTGTATGCTGATAGCAATGCACACATCTTTTCAGAGTTTCTATACATTTCAAATTGCGAAGATGTTTAAACTTTTAGTGAAGAGGCTCTGTGGCGCTAATAGGTTGTCAATAGTTGCTTAGCAACAGGAGCCGGTAGCAGCCTGCCAGGATATATGGCTGCAGAGCTGAACTGTAACACAGTTAGCTGGATAATTCACTTACTGACCTGCACGCTGATGTTTCCTTCTGTGTGTGTCCGTGACAGTGGAGACGTTACAGACACTGGTGAATGGCAGCCTGGGCGGGGCCATGGCCAGCGTCCAGGAGGGAGGAGGTGGTGGTGGTGCGGGGCCGGTGTGTTTGCCCCGCAGGGCTGAGACCTTCGGAGGCTTCGACAGTCACCAGATGCACAGCAGTAAGAGTAAGTGTGCTGCTCTGAACATTTGTTGGTGTCTTTTTTCCTTTACGTTTTATTTTCTTCTTCTTCTTCTTCTTTTTTTTTTAAACATTGTGCAATCCAGTGCAGGGAAACATGCTGAACCCCCACCTGCTTGTCAAGATAACTGCACCGACTTGGTGACTGGACTGCAAATGTGTAACAACACTGCTGAAAGCCAAAGCACAGTTTTTAAAAGTGGAATATTTCATTTTTCATCTTGAAACGGGGTTTTGGTGGTCATACCCACCTCTCCCCACAATTCCCCTGTTCAGAGCAGTTAGATAAAACATTTCAGACGGAGGCTTGGACAGCAGAGCTGGAGCTTCCTGAGGGAAAGGTGGCCTGGGGCGATATCTCTGAACTGGTGGCTTGCAAGCTGATAGTGTCGAATCCATTGAACCACAAGAGCTCTAAGAGGTCCAGATCTCTACATCGCTAGCATACCTGGAAAACTACAGCTAAACAATGATATTTTTGTCTGAGGGGGATGTCTCTTAAACACTATTGCAGCCTTGATTTATTTAAGTAAGCAAACATAATGAAATATAGAGACTAATGTAAGGGAATATAACAGATAGATAAATGTGTTGACTGTTAATTATATTTTAAAGTAAATGTAGACTTTACACAAGTCTCTGTAGGTGGAGAAGGAAGAAAATGTAAATAAAAGAATAGCAGTGAAACTAAAAGAATGTAAAAGAAAAAGGCAGAACATAATTCATAATAAATAATAAATCTGATGAGATGTCAGATTCAACATAAACACAACATGAATGTAGGTCAGCAGAAAATCTTTTGATTCCTTCCCGAGTTTCTGCATGTGAGAGCCACTTATTTTATTGACATAGCAAACCCGGCTGTAACCTTCACAGGAGTCACTTGTTGACAATATAAAACCTGTAATACTTTGGATTTTTTTTGGTGGTGGGGGAGGGGGGGTTTACAAAAGCTCTCCTGCAGACTGTTTGAGAGGTTGCATATCTGAATGGCCTGCTCTGCTGCACTGATCTGTCAGACTTTGCTTTTCACTGAAATGTAGTGAGAATTTCTCATTTTCCATACATCCAAAGAAATGATGGCCGCCAAGGAAGTCGACTCTGTGTCAAAAGCATGAATTATATCTACGAGTCCGCCAATTTTAAGTGTCATTTCTGTTTTTTAAAATCATAGAATTTCACTATCACACAAAATTGCACAGGATCTCTCCCTAATGGTAAACGAAGGACTTTTATTAACCTTGTCGGAAACGACAGGGTGCAGAGAAAAAGTGTTTCCTTGCAGGGCGGGGTTGATCAGCTTGAGGTCTCGGTTGATATTAATATTAATCATTACATCACCTCACATTATTTCAGTATGAACACCAAACAAATTCTTAATTTGTACACCACGTCTACCAACTCTGTTTAAGTTACAAATCTACACACTGCTTTTTTCCTTTGATAAAAGCTAAAGCTGCGGTGTTCATTTAGCTAATTTTGTTCCTCTTCTGGGGCCTGATTAGAAGCCGGAAGGAAAATTGGTCAAAATGCAGACTGCATTAGTTAATAGACTTTCAGCATCACAGCTCTGTCATTAAGATGTGGAGATTTGACTATAATTGCAGTGTATTTATTTAATGAAATCCATGTGTCATTTAGATGCCATTGTTTTTCAGCTGCAGCCCTGGTGGTGTTAAATGACAAATGTGGGAAAAACAACCCAGCAAAACTACAAAATTGGTAAAAATGGATCTGAAGAGGTTGATTTTTCCAACCTGTAGTTACTCACTAAGTCTCCATCCTGCTTCATAAAACACGAATTTTGCTTTTCAGTTACATATTTGTGCTCATATTCGCCACCAAAACTTTTCACCAAGAAGAAAGAGTGCATTTAATCACCCACATTCTGATAAGTAACCATAATTCAGGCTGGGCCATTGTAATCAAGAGGTTGTTATTTCCATCTGCAGTAGTTTAGATTTGGCGGTTTGGCTCTGTTCTGGGACGTTCCCGCTCTTCCGTGTGCACATATGTGGAAGGAAAGGCAACATGAGCTGCCATAACAGAACAGCCATTAATGACAGACATTGTCACCGATGAAGTTTTAGCATTAAAAGAGGATCTGGGGTGGTGGTGGGGGTTGCAAAGCAGCCTGCAGATGTGCCACAGCTGTGGAGAAGCTAAAGGTCCTGGCATGATTTGGTGCTGGTAGTCTGTAGCTGCTGTCACCAGGAGGCAATGTCAAAAATATGTGGATTACCTGGCATGCTTCATATAAATCTGTGCTCTCACTGATACTTCAAAGAACTTAAACTGTTCATTGACATGACATCTGACCACTGCAGTGTTTCGGATCTTTTTCTGTGTGTTTTCTTTCTTTGTGGTGAACTTGTGATCTGCAGTGCTTTCCTTTCCTGTTCACCCTAGCTGTTTTTGGTTTGGTTTTTCCCCCAGCATTTGACTTTGACTGAGCAGAGCAGCTTACTGTTGTTGGGTTTGTTTGGTTTGTTTGTTTGGTTTGAGGACATAGCCTGTTGTTTTGGTTGAATTCCAGTCACATTTGTCTTTTTTCATATTCTAGCTCTTAGAGTTCTCCTTTTGTCTTGCAGCACTCTTCTTGATCACATCTTTTTTTTCCTGTGGTTTCTCTTTATATCAGGTGGAGACAGAGATGAGAGTGAGGATATGGCGGGAGACCTGCGCAGGACTGAGTCCGACAGCGTTTTAAAGAAGGTCTGCATCCCAGCAGCCAGTTATTCTCCTTGACTCTGAAGCCAATGTGCCCCTACACGTCACAGAGAACCTGAGGGCATGTGTGGGGGTGCATTTGTCCTCCAACACTAACAATACCATTAAAATGAATTTAACTGCTTCTCTCCCTCCAATGAATTAGCCTCTTGATTCTTCCTCCCAGGTCCCGTTGCTAATGGCGACCATCAGTTGTGTAGGATTCAATAGATGATGGAAATGAATGGAGTGCCTTTAGGTGCTGCTATTGTAGCTCTGCACTGGATGCCAGCCTTTGTAGTCATTTATACTGCATATACCAGCAGCTGGACTGCACATTATTGTGTCTTGAATCTTTTAGCAGAGACAGGCTACAGTAAACGTAATGTGCTGTTTAATAAAGAAAAAGGAGCCAGCTATTCACCAGGCCATTCCTTGTAAATGCTGCTCTCTGAAAACAGAAGAGAAGCATTTAATTTTTCTTAACATTTCACCCCAGGCATGGTGCCAAAGTTCAAAGAGAGTTCAGCAGTAAAAGGACGGTGTTCAGAAGTCCGAGTCATCATTAAAAAATACAATGCAGAGTTAATTCCAGCCTTCCATCTTCTATTGTATTCACGTTGGTCTGTGCCGTTCTTTTGTAAACTGAAAATACCTTTTTAGAACCGTTCGTCTCGTCCCCATTTAAAATAAAGCGGCACGACACTAAATCCGTCATACATAATCATAGCCAGATACAATTAGACTTCACAGCACACCCACATGTGCAACTTTAATCACATTCGCTCCGTGATATATACAGTATACAGGCCCACAAGAGCACTGTACACAAGAGCAGATGTTTGCATGCGAGTATATTATTGTGTTTTAGCTTGCTCAGTGTGTCTTAATGTTTGTGTGCAGGGAGGAAACGCCAACCTGCTGCAGCTGCTGAAGAGGAACAGTGAGGTAACACTGACTTCCTGTGTCTAATTCAGTTCAAGTCGCTGTTTACATAGAAACTGCCAAAACCCTGTGTCAACGGCATTGTTACCGGCATTAATCAGCGTGTTGTCTCAAACAGCAGTAAAGCTCAAGTTCAGCCAGAATGCGTCGGCCCAGTTTGAAATCTGAAAGTCTTCCACAAACCTTTAACCACAGCACTGATCATGACTCAGAACTGTGATGGACTGTTTCCTCCTTTTGGTTTTGATCGACTCGTTTAATTATTATTATTCACTTGTTGAGGTTGATTTGCCGCTAACAGCTTTCCTTTTGCCACCTATCAAACACTTTTATACTCCATCAATAACAACATATAAATTTTTTTTTAGAAATTCAAATTTGAAATTGTTTTTACTTAATCTAAACGACCCTGCTGCCCACATTTAGGGATTTACTGCTGTTTCTGTAAAAAGCTCTGCTAAGTAATAAATAACAAAATAGCTCAAAGTGAAAGTGAGCATGTGCCAAGCAAAGTAAGCTGTCATTTAATAAAAGTAGGAAGAGTTTTAAGTGAAAATTGTTATTAAAATGCACAATAATCAGAAGCAGCTCATGCAGCGTAGCGCTGTAAAATAACAGGAAGAAATAAGGCTTAACTAATAAATATGATATTTTTGCAGCATCAAAGAGCAATAAGCAGTTAATACAAGACTAAAAGTCTAAAACCATGTTAGTGGGTCGGTGAAGTTGTTTGCGTTTCATGTTGCTAACGCTGCACGCGATATAAAACCATAAATGGTGCAGAGCTTAGGCTACATGACTTTTGCAGCTTTGGGAGCATTTTCAACTGTAGGAACAACAGGAAATCAGAACATTTGATCAGGAAGAGATACATTGTCGGAAATCTGTGCAAAAATCACTGTGAATAATTTTTAAGCTGATATCCAGCCCTGAGCTGTTTTGCAAAATGGCAAAATGGGTATTTAGAACCTTTTATTTGAATAAGTCATAAACTTATTTAAGTATAATAAAACATTAACCATAAAAATATGCCCAAAGTAGTTCTAATTATTTTATTTCTTCAATTTTTCTTCCTATTTTATTTAAAAAGTAAAATTACTCCTTAGTCAGAATAGCCAGTCTTTAGCAAAGAAAAACAAGGGTTAGAATAAGTCCAAGGGGGAAACGAGTTAAGGAGGCTTTCCATGGCCTCCCTTTGTACATGCCTCTGTCTGCAGATATGGGTCCTATTCTGGTGTATTGATGCCTTTGGCTCCTTGTCATATTCGTTGAGCTATTCCTGAACATTTTTTTGCAGTGAAGCAGGGAACATTTTCCTGGTAGTTTGTGTGCTTTTGATAATATGTGTGTGCTTAGTCAGTCATGATGTGTAGGTCAGTGAATTAAAGTAGCATTTACAATAATGCAAGACTTAACGATTCAAAGAAGATCAACGTTTGTAACTTCATCTGTCAGTGGTTTTATTATCGTGGCTGCAAAGTGTGATTTTTAAAGCAATACTTGGTTTGTGGAGCTATAAACAACTTTAAGTTTAGTAAAATCAGTTTTTTATTATTATATTAAAATATTCTGTGTGACACCACAACATTTCCTCCAGACGTGTCACTTTATGAAAGCTGTTTTGTTTAGTTCGCAGTAACGTGGTTTGGATCAGTTTTGAGTCCTTGTAAACACGGATGACAAATACAAGGTTACTGTGCTAATATCTGAGCGCAGGAAAGGTCAGATCTCTGTAAAGTTAAATCAGCATATTGTTATAAATTGATATTGTATAAAACACCGCTACCAATAATGGTGAGTTTTAACATGTCAAGTGGAGCAGTAAGTAAGGCAACATCAAAGAGCTTTGTCCTTGCAGCCGAAGTGGATTTTTCTCCTGGATAACAAGAACACAGCCGGAGGTTTGAGGTTATACTCACTGCTCTCTCTTTTTCAACAGCAGGTCCTCCACAGTGTCTCCAACCTGCATCTTCTGCTAAGCACTCTGCAGGTATGATGGTTTCTAAGCAGGACAATACATCCAGCGCTCCAGATCAGAACTGACATGATGCAAGTCTGTGAAGCTTTCCAATGAAAAGAACAGAAAAAAGACCTCCATCCACACAGAGCCAGTGCAGAATACCCCACAATCCACAGGATGGGTATGTCTAACCTAATCTCTGTGGCTCTGTCTAACACAGGCAGTGGTAGTCCAGCAGGACAGTTTCATAGAGGACCAGCGGCAGGCCCTGAGTGAGCGCTCGTCCTCTTGCACATCGTTATCACGACCGTCCTCCCGGCCCAGCTCGCTGATCGAACAGGAGAAGCAGCGCAGCCTGGAGAAGCAGCGGCAGGAGTTGGCATCCCTGCAGAGACAACAGGCAGCTCATGCTGAGGAGAAGAGGAGAAGAGAGAAGGAGTGGGAGCTCAGGGAAAAGCAGCTCGCTGAGAGGGAGGCACAGGTGCACGCACAGGTAACTATGCATCATCTTCCACTAGCCCTGTTTATTATTAATAGTTTCAGGGCAGCTATAATTCTGACAGTAACCCCCCAGGATGGTTTCATGCTGCAGTGTTTCACCTCATGCAGTGTTTTATCTGATAAATTACAATGCGTACTTGTGCAGGGCATTAAAGTCTTCTGTGGTGCTTTAAAGAGATGGTACACTGCCTTCAAATATAGCTTTCACTGACAAGCTTGAAACGCTGAAAGAAAAGTTGCAGGGTCAAATTTCACCTGACAAGGCTGCAAAGGCGTGGTAGTAGATTCACCTCCACGGCTGGCTGAAACGTCGCACTAACTAAAGGCTGAACAACATGTAGTAAACATTCTCTCTGTTTGTGAATTAAGGCAGCTGTGGCTCAGGAGGTAAAGTAAACCATCTAGTAGGTTGGTGGTTTGATTTCTGGCTGCTCCAGTCTGTGTGCCAAAGCATCCTTGGGCAAGGATATTTGACACGTTCATCATCTGTCTGAATGTTAACTTAAGATGTAGAAAAAAGTGGGTGAATGAGACACATGAGTGCTCAATTGTGCAATTTATTCTCATTGTTTTCCATATTAAATTACTGCCAAATGGCAGAATGATTACAAAATAGTGATCACTTAGTTATCCAGATCTGCAAAGAAACTAATGTTTAAGAGTTTGAGCATTACAACAGTACAAGAAACCCAAACTATTCGAGCAGACATGGAGATGATTAACGTTCTTTTAAAAAGCCACAACTTCTGGATTAACCCTCGAGTTCTAACCCACCACAGGGTTACGTCTAATCGTACATTTTGAAAAAACACACCTGAATCGTGATACTTGCAATAACAATGTTAGTATTTTCTGATTGCTTTGACTTTGGAGAAATTTTATTTTGATGGGGTTAGGGATTAAAGTTCAGGGTGGTACGCTGATCATATGCTGCAGGTGTAAACAGCAACAAGAGCAGCAGTCTATGGTTTGTTTACTGGTAGTGACTGCACCTTGGATGATATGAGCAGTATATCCTTGCATCTGTCGAGTGGGTCATTGTTTGTTTAAATGAATTTCACACTCATTATCACCAGCGCGTGTGATTCCCTGCAGTGTGTCCCCAAAGTTTGAATACTTAGCCCACAATCAACTTAATGTCGTTTAAAATCAACAAGTTAAATGCAGTTGTGATCAGCTTCATAATGCACAGCAGGCAGCAGCACCTGTGGAGTTATGAAGTTGATTTAATATATGAGGAGACAAGAAATTATTCAGTCAGCATTGGTAAAGTCTAGACTTCAGTTTTTTTTTTTCCAGCTTATTTTTTCCTGATGGGGAAACGTGCATTAAGGAGAGGTTGAGACACTGAATGTGATCACAATATTAAATCAGGCAGTCATTAGCTTTTATTCATTCAGGCTCAGTTATTTGTGACGATGTGACGCCTCACGTGTCTGTCAGTTCAATAAATCAATCTACACTTGTATCAACCGCTGCAGGAGGAGGAAATCCTGAAGCGGCAGAAGGACCTGGAGGAGGAGAAGCAGGAGCTGCAGAACAAGAAGGAGGAGTACCAGAAGGACCTGGAGAGACTGAGAGATGCCCAGAGGAAGCTGGAGAGGGACAGGGAGGCTATGCAGCGGCACCTCAACAAGATGGAGGACCTGCGTCTAGCTGAGGTGAGCAGGGACACTCTGAAAATCATAATAATGATAACACGATCTGCTGATCCCTGCAGGGAAATCGCCTCTTCTGTCGCCCCTCAGCTGCAGGGGAACACGGTGTGAGCCTGGAGGGATTCATTTTTTGCACTCAATGACACTCCAGCCTGGTTGATGTTTATGGATGCTTACAGCAGAGGCTTGAACTTGGGTCCTCTTAAAAGTGGATTTAAAAAAGCTCTTGGCCACATTTTAACTGGCGAGCGTCGCTGCAACGCAAACCAAGCAGCACTGTTATGTTTCTCCAAAAAATCTAAATATGATCATTTTCCAAAACTGAGCTCTTCTAGAAACAGTCGTGCTCATCATTTAGCAAAAAGCCTTTCATGCATATTCACATACAGATGTAGACCGCAGCTGTTCATCTTCCTAAGCGCCTCTTGTTCCTTCCTTTCCAGAGGACTCCCTCTACAACGTCTGATGAGTTCGCTGGCAGCTCCCAGTCTCTGGAGCTGGACCCGCTGGAGTTCTCCTCCTCCTCTTCCTCCTCTCTGCCGAGGCTGCAGCCCCAGCGGTCCAAGCCCAAAGGGAAAGGCCTCAATCCCTTTACCTCATCCTCCACGAACCTCAAGGGCAGCGAAGGCAACAACCAGATCTCAAAGAGCCTCCTGCAGCTAGCCAAGAACAAGGGCAAAGATGGGAAGGAGAAGGAGAAGAAGAAGAAAAAGGCCAAAGGGGGGAGCGCACAGTCAGCAGGTATAAGATGATAAACTGGCTGGATCGAGTCGAATTGTTCAGTGTTTCACAGTGAGTCAGCAGGTTGGAGTGGAGTGCTTTTTGTCAAGGATGTACTGTGTTTAGTTATTATTGAAAAGGAGACATTATTGGTAGACATGTGGATGGATGGATAATGGAAGAAGAAGGAAGGATATGTCAGGTCTACAGCTTAGTGCAAAGTTTCAAGGTAGTTTTTTGTTTCCTGCCACAGTGCATCATCTGTCACAACCAGCCAAAAAAGTTAGTGTTCTTTATGACTAATGTAGAAAAAATAATAATTTTTTTGACCTTATAAAGTTAGAATTTTTTTCTGCTAAACTGCAGCACTTCAGAGAAACCACCACGGAAATGATTGGAGACAAAATCCAAACTGTTTATTCTGTTTAAATGTATGCTCTTAAGTATCTAATCTGAAGCCAAGTCGGAGTTAGACGTATGAAAGGAGAATGTTTCAAAGTTTTACCTTTTTTTTGGTGCAAAATTCAATCTTTGTGTTACTATCCCACCACGACAGCTCAGTTTGATGACACTGCCTCAGGAAACAGAATGAAAATGTAAACTAAAAAGAAGATATTTTAGGAGAGAGCCGCTTGAGTTGATATATGCACCTGGCTAACGTTGGAATATACATTACAAACACGAAGACTAGATTTTATCTTTTGTTTTCCCCTATTGGAAGAACATGAACAGGGAGTTTCCTGTTTTCCTACTGCCCAGTTTACATGCATGATGGTGTTTCTAGTCTAACTGCATTAGAACTACAAACAGAATAAAAAGGCTCCATATAAATACCTCAGCCAGAAAGAAACGGGTCCAGAATTAGTTACATTTGCATTGGATTCAGAGTGGAGAAATATTCCGTTTCCTAATCCAATTAAAGAAAATTTGAGCATTTTTCCTGCACAAGTCCACAATGTTGATGTACATATGCGGTGACGTATGCTTCTGCTCTTTGTAGAAATGTCTGCTTCTGATCTGAACAGCTTCTTTCTGAATTTTTTAAAATGCAAATGCTTAATGAATAAATAACACTTAAAAAGAAAATCCACCTTTAGAGAGCTGATCAGTGATTAGAAATACATTGTGCATCCCTGCATGTAAACACTATATTGCACCATATTAAACCACTTTCTGTGTCAGCTGTTGGCCTGATATGTTCTGTCACAATGAAATTGATCAGAATGATCTGAAGCCAATCTTGTTTTAAAGCAGACTTGAAAAAACTGTGAGCTCAGTGAGAAGCAGACGTGTAATTTTGGTCACATGCTCAGATCTGCTCAGGCTGTCACGAGGTCTCACATGGAGCTTAAATTTGTTACAATATTCAATTAGTCACAAAAGTAAATTATTCAACTGTCCTACATTTTTAGGGGGATCTTGAACACTGTTAGAAGTGAGCTTATGTCTGACACAGAAGAACTACACTTGTTATAAAACACATGAACTACATGTAGATGTGAACTGATGGTTCTGAAATGAGCAGTGAGCCAGCATAAGGCCACACAGTTGGGACTCCCTGTTGGTAACAACATATCTTTAGGAGTTTATTTTGTGTTTGCATTAAAGTGCCCAAAGGGGAATGCTAATATCCTACCCAGCTGTGACTGCAGCAGTGTGTTTGCTGTGTGTTGTGGGTCTCTTAATGGCAGCAGAGTTCAAAAAGAGATACTATAGTGTTGAATTTAGACTATGCAGTTAACCCATACTGGCCAGCTTCATTATACAGCTCCACCAGTAACAGTTTTCAGTACGTGTTACTAAGAGCTTAAACAGAAGCTACGGTGTCATTGATGACAACCACCACCCTTGAGTAATGAATTGTTTATGTTTAAATTAGCAGCAAATAAACATCAGTGACAAAAAGGGTGTCCACTAAACCATTTCAGATCTTCTTTGGGTGTAATTCCATTTCAGCGTCACCATTTTCTCTTGCATTTTCCTGGATGGCTCAGAAAGATTAGAGGAAATGCTATAGAATTTTGAACATTTTCACTTGTGTTACTTCCATAACAGCTTAGAGGCATAAAGGCTTAATAAAGCCTGGACTTTATTCTTGGTCTTTTTCTCTGTGTTCAGTTCCAACACAAATTTGCCAGTTGCTGCTTCTGGGCTAATCACTGTAAATGTAAAGGCTGCTGGTGCTGGACAGTACTCACCCTGAGGCACACAGGCACACCCTGTGTTGCAGGAACTCTGACCTCCCGGGTTCATGCAGTGTGGACACTATTCAGACAAGTGTTCTTGCAGCAGTGATACGGGCAACTCTGAATTATTTGGAACTCATATTTCAATTTCTGTGCAAAATTTGGTGACACTATGTTACAAAAGCCTTATAACTCAGATTCTCTCGTAGACTGTGGTTTCTCTTTTGGCCTCCAGCAATGGAAAATGGAGGACAAGCCTATTGTCCTTGAAGAAAAACAAGCTGGGAGTTTCTGCAAATATGTTGCTGTTACTAAATTTCAGCCATGAGTTGCATTTTGGAAGCATTTAGTTCTCGTTTTGGCATTTAGAGAATATTTGTGGGTTGCAAAATCCTGATGTGTATAAGGTGAAACGTCACCGGCAACTGATCAGAAATCAAAATCCTGTGTTTTCGGGGTGATGCTGACTCCTGTTCTCCTCTTCACAGACTCCCAGCCCCTTCCAGAGCCGCCTCTGGATGGAGAGATTTTTTTCTGCTGAGACAAGTGGCTCTCCTCCTCCTCCTCCTCCTCCTCATCATTACCATGAACCCATCAAACCACTCTGACAGTGGAATGTGCTGCCAAGTAGTAACACATTCACCTGCGCACACAGGCTTTTTGAATCACCTTGAAAAGGCTTTTAGTTAATTTTCCATGTCATAACATAGAGCTGTTTAACATTACATGGAAGAAGATACATTTTAAAATCAAATACCACAGCTTTTAGTTTGTTGGGAATTAGGATATATTAGGCTCTGCTGTGGTGTGCGTTTAGGATTCAGTTCAGTAGCTAAAGTGGGAAGGATGGACTGGCTCTGCACTTTTTCGTTATTCTATGTCCAAAATTCATCTTTTCCTTTTCCAAATAAATGGTTCGAATTTCTTCATTTTGAAAAATCAGACATCTGTGACAGCTCAGTATCACGCTGAAAGCGTTTCACAGCGAATTGCCTTTCAGGCTCTTCCAAGTCTGTCAGGGGCTCGTGTGTTACGGCTGCCTTTTTTCCTAGAGCCCCGCACCAGCAGGCTGTGATGTTAATTTACAGAAGCAGGGCCTTTTCCATGCGACTTTAACCACACGTTCAAGGACACAGACAAATCCAAATGCCACTGTGAATGTCAGCGAGCTCCCTGTGGCACTGGAAACTCCTCACACCTAATCATATTCATTGACAGCTAATTGATGACTGAACCCACGGGGGGGGGGAACTTACGGGTCCTAGCAACATTTCTTAATCAGAGAGAGTCCAAAGCCGTTTCAGTGCTTCAGTCGCAGTGAATCATAGCCCGGCGTTCGCGTCAAGTGTTCAAAAAGCAGATGCGATTAGATCCGCCGAGTCTGTCCCCAGTTTGCAAGCAAAAGGGAATTGGCTAACTTGTGTAATCCTTAATGATGACTTCATGCCATCAATCATGTTCCTTAATGAGGTTTTAATTTATTTGAATTATGGCTATCTCCAATTTGGAGTGAAGCTCTTCAGATGTGTATTTTCTTAGACGCTCAGTAATGAAAGGATTGAGAGTTATCTCTCTCTGTCTAATGGCTCAATTCATATCCTTTAGTGTGTTTTAGAGTCTTGGATGGCTATTGGCTCGATTGTCGTTTCATCTGCCTGTCAATGGGCTTTTATGCAGCCCTCATCTTTCATCTGAACGCCGACAAGCAGGGCTTTCCTTCGTTTTTTTAATTGCATGTAACTCTTCAGGTAGCATACTAATGGTTTCTGTGTGTTAAAGAGATCAACTCTCTCTTTCGCCTCCTTTCAGTTCCCATAATAGATTCTGCAGATGCACACAGCTGCTGGTCGTAGGAACGGAGGCCGTTAATTTACGGACAAAGCAACCGCTTAGAGGGAATGAGAGTGGACATTAGCTACAAATATGTTCTGTTGTTGTTTTGTGACTAAACCGACTCAGCAGGTAGCTCGTGAGTCTCTGATCATTTCAGATTAGTCAGCACTCATCAGTGTTTTTGAGCACTTTGTCCTAAAAATGTTAACACGTTTATTTTTAATCGGTGTGAGATACGAGGAAATATGATTTCTTTTTTTTTAATCAAGGGCAAAATGATCCAAAGACGGTTAAAGTGTTTAAGTGGATTAAATAAGGGGCTGTGAGCTTTTATGGAGTTTTTCAAAGATGACCCGTCTTAATATTTAAGACCTGCGAAGCTCACGCTGTGGGCAGGACTACCTGCGGGACAGGTAGGAAGGACAAAGAGACGTTTAAAAAGGATCCTCTTCCCATGAAAGGCAGAGCAGCATTGCCGAACTGCTTCCTTGCTGCCTCTTTTTCTCACGTTTAAGTGCTTGTTTGTTAACTCGCTGTCTTGTGTTGAGGATTTGACTTCACATCCAGGCTGGTTTATTATAGTGTGTCTTGTAAGAGGCTTATGCGGCCTGCCAATTAGTTGCTTCATGTCTTTTGTTTATGGCTTTGGTGTAATCCTGTCAAAGAAACGGAGAGGGGTAGACTTTTGGTGTTGCTTTAAGGTGTGTTTTGACCACTAGGGAGCACTGCACCTATAACTAAATAATTTCCCTCCCTCACACAACAGCAACAACCAGAAAGTATGAAACTGTTTAGTTTTTTGTTTTGTTTTTTTCCCCCTGTGACTCCTGCTGTGAGAAATTGATGTATTTTTTTCTCAGCAGGTCAGAGATAATGTGATGAGCGTGGGCTCTCACACTCTGCGACATTTTTCCCCACGGCATTTGTAATTGACTGCAGAAACAAATAAGTTGTCAGAGATTGTAATTGGTTATTCAGTGTAACCAGTCAGCAGCAGCTTTAATGTGGGGGGAATAAAAAGGTTGGAGGAAGCGACTTGGCAGAACCACAGACCTCTGTAAGGGACAATCAGCAGACACAAGTCGGGAAAATGAACTCCCTCACCAGTGATGATGATAAGCCTGTCCGAGAGACGAGTGTGTCCATTAGGTGAACCCTGCGTAGCCTTAAATCTTAATGATAAAATGCACTAGAGTAAAACCCAGCGTCTTCTCAGGAGAGAGGAGAGCTTTTATACCTCTGCTTTGAAAGGAAGGAAATGTTTGTACTATTCAACTGGTACACAGTTGTTTCGTTCTCAGCAATGTAAAAAAAAAAGAAGAAAAAAAAGGGCAAATGTGTAAATATGATTTATGTATAATACAAATTACTTGTAAAAAATAATTGACTTGTGATTTATTGAAGCATTTTGTAAGAATGTTTTATTTATGTTTTATTCTCACCAACAAGGTGATAAACAATGTCAAGGTGTATTTCTCTCATAATAAAAAAATACCACAATTGACATCCTGAGTATTTGTGGGTTATTTTTTTTTACAGCTATTCTTTTTTTGTTCTGTCTTGGTCAAGCTTCAGTTTGTATACACTGTAACCAACATGAAAGAATTGTGACAAAATAGGATGTCTGCTAATCAACCAATAGGAATGTAATGTACAGCCAGTGTTGGGGAGTAACGGAATACATGTACCGCATTACGTATTTAAAAGACAAAATATGAGTAACTGTATTCCGTTACAGTTACTGTTTAAAAGGGTGGTATTCAGAGTACACCCTGAATAACGACTCCTTTCTCACTCTAGCGATGGACATCGTTTACAGATGATCTCATCTTTTATTCACTATGACCTGAAACTACTGATTGAGGACAAAATCATCAGAAACTTGGTTACAGAGGTCACAAGAGTGAGGTCTGGTTTTCTGTTTTACTATTACAAGTGTTTTTGAAACCAGGAGACCCAGAGACTACACCCATCTTGTATACTGTTTCTCCTGGTTTCTGTACTTAAAAAATAAATAAATAAATCAAACTAAATGTAGCAAAGAAGAAAAATCTAGTTCAATTTTGGCAGCAGATACTTGCTTGTATATTTGTCCTCCAGCTGTTGTTGTGATCGAACCATGGGGAATGCAGAGAAGTAACAGTGGTGCATCTTTGCCTTCATTCTGCAGATTCTACAAGAGGCTGCAAGAAAAAGAAAACAAAAAAGTTTATGCGTGTCACATAGCGTGACTTGTAGTGAACTTACAAGACTGCTGATGTTACAGTTCGAGCCCAATGGAAACAGATGGTTTGAACAGCAGAATGGTGGGGCGTCTGAGAGGACGATATCAAGGTCCTCCCTTTTTGACTTCATACAGAACGAAGACTTGTAGTTTAAAAAAAAAAATGTCCAACTTTCTGAAAGTTCTCAGCTTTTTGTAAAAAGAAAAAGAAAAAAGACATCACTGCAGTTCTTGAGAAAACAGTATGTTTTTGTGCCTTCAGGGGGAAGATTTTCAAATTAGTTTCTGCCCTAATAACTTATTAGATTTGCTGACTTATTTGTCCTCAACATTTTTTCTAATTATTATTTTACCAACGAACGATACTCACAGAATTTAAAATGCACCACTTTCATTATTTAGCAGGATTTCCAAAAGTAAATTAATTTGATTTAACAGAACATTATATTGTTAAGTGTAATACACGCCTTCGGAGTGGGAGTCGCAAGTTCGTATCCAGTAAGGGTCCTAGGCTAGACACATGCTAACCAAGCCTACTGGAATTGGAATATGGAATGGAATTTTCGATACCCAACATTCACAAACAACAACAACAACTGGGATCTTGTTGTTGTTGTTGTTGATAACTGATAACTGATCTCACAGCTAGAGACTGACGACACATGCTACGGCAAGGAGCCGGACGACAGGTCAGGGGGACGATATCATCACCCCCACCTGAGTTTGGGTACCAAGTGTGATGAAGAAAGGTTTGAAAAATTAAGTTGTTTCAAAGTACAGTGCTCAGGTTTCGACTCACTGCTGTCTCAAACTCCAGTCTCTGTTGCAACACACCTGAATAAAATTAGTAAGTCATTAGCAAGACTCTGTAGAACTGAGTTGACAATTTGATTCATGTTACAGCAGCTCATAAGTGAATGAACACGATGCAATAAAAGTACTTTTAGAACAAAATTTTTCCAAACACATTTTACGTGAGTAGGGTTAGGGGTTGCCAATTCAGCAGGCAGTCAAGTTCTATACTCTTGCTACTAATTTTATGCGGGTATGTTGGCACAGGGACACATGGAAAAGTTTCAGGACACCGGCCCTCAAGTACTGGAGTTTGACACCCCTGTTCTAAATCAAACTACATTAAACGATGTTGTAAAAGCAAAAACCATCAACATTATATCAACGTAAGGGATACAGAAAATCATTTTGGGAAGCTTGCAAACGTGCATGTTTATGGTATGATAGGGTACTTATTGGTATCACAGCTTCATCTTTAAGCCACCTTCATAACACTGAAAACATGGATTCAAACCTGAGGTGACTATGCTAAGCCCCCCGTCTTGCTTCATGCTAAAGACCTCTGGCCTACCTGCACGACCGAGCACACTCACTGGATCATTGCCATTAGGAAGGTGGCTGTTCGCACATTTCCAACCCTCAGGCTGTGTCATCTCGTAATAAATAAGTGTGAGCATTTCACATCTGGACACTGCCTACCAATAAGAAAGCTCTATTAGACTTTAGAACTAACACATGTACTTATACCACCATGTGTATTAACAGGGTAGTCTGCCATGTAGACCCACACTGTCAGGTTAATAAAACTATAATCCAATTGACCATCCTTGATTTTTGCCCACTTTGCCCAGTACATAATCCAGGCTGGTAATGAGTACAGTTTTTAACTGGGATTCTTTCTCTCCCCTTTATCCTGATCAGTATTCTGGTCCTGACTGCAGCAACTGTGTCTGTTTTGTTTTGGAAGCTTTATCACAATAATGAAAAAAAAAATCATTCTCATTAATCCAATTTTTGTTCCAGAGGCAATTAAATTGCTATCACTAAATTGTGCTAATGCTTTGATTTCCTGTTTCCTGTTGTCGTGCTGCAGTTTGAACACCACCAGAGGAAAATGCTGACAGAGATCTTGATGGATTGACAGCAGTGGTGGCACACGGCAGCACTCGTTTCTCCTGATAAATAAAGAGCCAGCTGCTTTAATCTCTCCATGCTCGGCGGTGTTTTGCCTCTGGAAACCTCGACTGCGGAGGCTTTTTTCCCCCTTAACTGTAGGATCTTGTATGCTATGCCCAGTTCATCACCATGGGATCTTTCTAAATATTTCCCCATTTTGCTCATTCCACATATAAGCTCCAGAGACAAAATACCAGCTGATAAGACTCAGCCGTGTTGGTAGCCTGATAAGGTGCAGTGCAAATTCTGTTTCTTGGTCCAAACCCCTGTAAAAGTTCACCTATCTCTGTTTGGAGCAGCAAACAGCAAGTCTGCCTGTGACGTGCAGTGACAGAAAACCACACAGCCTTGAGTGAAAAGTGGAAGCTGGGAGGCAGAGAGGGAAAGAGGGGAAATAAAAGCATGAATATGTAAATATTCCAAATTAAAAATTTCATCATAGCTTAGAAGAAGAGGAGAACAGCCGTGCTGCTCATGCTGATAACTCTGTGAGGCTTGAGTGACTAACGATAAACTTCATGGTACATTCTCAGATTTATTAATTATCTGCTGCTGATAAGATAAATTTGGCATTGTTGAGCTAATTACCGTCACATGATAACTGTCTAAATCTGTCTAATTGATAGTTTGAAAGCGGCTTTGAATTGAGCTGAACTAGAACGGCCAACTTTATCGAAGCATCACCACTTTCCAATAGACTGATGTGTTACAGCAAAAGGCTTCACTTTCACTGAGAAATAATCTCTCTGCAGCTCGTTCCACTCACTTGGCCTTTGGTCAGTAGAAAACAGAACTCAGAAACACTAATAAGACCATCACCAGCAGATCTTCAGGAGTGGAAGACGTACTCATATTTCCTTCATGAGTCAAAGGAGAAATACCACAATATAAAACCACAAACCTGCAGGAACCAATTTTAGCCATTCGGGGCAATAAACGTGCTGTAATCTCTGACATTTTCAAATTAACCCAATCCAGAAGCTCCAGACGTTCCTCTTAGACAGGATTAGCCGTCAGTGCTCTTCGTACTCACTTTACATGCAGTGATGTCACATGTTACCGGACTGAATTGTGGATCCACTGCAAGACTTTTTTTCTGGTTATTTGCACTAAAAAGTTACATTTCAAGCCAGCACAGGCATCGGCCAATCAAGTCACATTAAGAAAATATCCAGACGGGTTCAGCATCAAAATTTAGGAGACGCTGATCTGTGCACTGTATAATCAACCTGTGGATGTGGAAAAAAAACACACAAAAAAGTCCCAAAACCTAATCACCTATCATCAAGCACTGAAAATATATTTGTGTTTGAATCCTGTTTACATTGAATCATTACTTGTTATTAATCTCTGGCTCTTTTGTGTGTCTTTTATCTAGTCTTACTCCCCTCACCCCAAATGGTCACATCAGATGGCCCCGCCCCTCTCTGAGCCTGGTTCTGCCGGAGGTTTCTTCCTGTTAAAAGGGAGTTTTTCCTTCCCACTGTCGCCAAAGTGATTGCTCATAGGGGGTCATATGATTGTTGGGTTTTTCTCTATGTATTATTGTAGGGTCTACCTTACAATGTAAAGCGCCTTGAGGTGACTATTGTTGTGAATGCGGTATAAATAAAACTGAATGGAATTGAATTAAATTCTATTAAGGCTTCAAGTTATTCATTGCTGAGAGCACTTTCTCGGTGGCCACTTTCTAGGTGATTTAAAGGTGGATGCTGTTTAGCATTTTGTTGTGATAAAGGAACAGTTGACAGTTTTATTCCAAGGATAAGTTAGCATCCCATTTAACAACTGCATTCATACTGTCGCCTACGTGCAATCACACAAGCCGTGTCCACAAATCAGAGGGGAAACTTTTACAGGCTACACGACAAATTCAAGAATAAAAACCTACCTTAAGCCACATCATGAGCCTGCACATATTTAGCACACTAAAATGAAAATCTCGCCACAGTTACAAATGTTAAGAAAGTGTAAAGTATAGTGTAAAAAAGCAGGAGAGACATTTTCTCCGACTGCAGAAGTAGATTAATGAACTCACCACACACTGGGACGTTTGGGTCACTGACTTTAAATTCTGAACACCCTCAGCGCATTTCCATTTGTTTAGCAATTTTGGAGTGAAATCGAGTGAGATCAGCTAGTTTTAAAACTAGCCTCACAAGCTGATGAATCACCTCCTTTTAGTTCCAAAGAGACATGAGGGGTACTTTGCAAAGTTTTACTTGCATCCCCCCATGTGCTCCAAAGTCCTGCTCGGTCATGCCACCATCTTGCTGCAGATGCAACAAGTTACATTAACCAGTAATAAACTTTG